CTGCAAGTCAGTCAATAATCATGGTTAGATCAATTGGTTTAGAATCGCTCTATAGCTAAAATTGTGCGTTTTAAGAAAATAGGTCCCAAAAAAGACTTTGGCTGTGAAAAAGGAATGGAGTAATCCTGTTTTATTGCACAGTTTGGTTATTTTCAGAGATTTTTCACAAACTTAGGGCTCACAATTAATAAATATAAAATAAAAATTAACTGACTTTTTTGAATACATTTATTTGTAATTGATATTCCTGTTTTTAAACTTTTAACGCAGAAAAACAATACAACCCAAAATACATATAACACACATTAGTCATTGAATAAAAAGAACAATTATACTGAAATAAAAATGTACAATAGAGGAAACTGTTTATTAAATTTCATGATTTTTGAGACTGCATTTTGTTTGCTAGCACGCTGTTTATTATTATTATTATAAATAAACATTATATAATCCTTTTGTATAATTCATTCTAATCTTACTTATACTAGACACGAACAAAATTCACAAACAGCTCATAGTGCATTTAATTTATACATGTTAACCCTTTTTTTGACAACTATTATGCAGGAAAACGTCAAATATTTCCCACCAGGAGAGATAAAAACCATAGTTATTTTACCTTGCGCCATAAAAATGAAATGAACTGTTAGCATTTTGTGAACGAGGAACGCAGCTGCAAGCCAAACAAATATTCGCTTTATGTTCAACGCTCGTGATAGGTTTTAAGGTGAACCAGATTAACCTTAATGGATACTGCTCCAGCCCAAAACCAAATCAAGTAGATCCGCACGACTATATCCTTTGCATATTCCATTCAAATTTATGATTGTTTGCATTATGCGTTTAATGTCGCTTGATTTACATTAGCTTGTGCAGCGGAAAAAATTGAATTTTCCGCGCTTTGTCCTGAAAATTAAACAAAACAAAAATAGGGAAGAAAAAACGGAAAACGTGCCCAAGGAGCAGACGCAATATGCAAATAATCTGCAAATTTATAGGCTTTCCCTGGACTCCTTGAGCGGCTACAGCTGCGACCTGGCATTAAGGTCCTGAGTGGCAGGCGGCTAAGCCAGGTTATTATCTTTTATGAACTGAACTTCCTTTTGATTGGTGTAATGCTGTTGCTCAGGCTCCCAATGATTGATGCATGTGCAGAGATGTCACATGGAACAACATGAGCCCGAAAACTTGACATTTCTCGCATAAAAAAGGCAACAAAAAAGAATATTTATAAAATCAAAGAGAAGAAGGGAAATCCAACGGCGCAAGGGAAGGTTGGCATGCATGTTCTTCGGGGAAAATCCATTAAAACACTTGAGCCTGGCAGACGCGACGCAATGCTCTCCAAACAAGGAAAACCAGAATGCATTTCCGTTAATAGTGAAGGCGGCTTTGAAGGCTGGCAGCCACACTTAGACGCAGCACTTGTGGTTACCCTTAAACCTTCAGGACTCACTACCCCCTAACCTCATCCCCCTCAAGGACATAAAATGTTATTGATATTGCAATTTTTAGCATTTTGTAATTGAGGCTAAAGTTGGTGCCTATCGCAGGCACATCAATTGTCTGCCAGATAGCAGCCCGAGCGGATAACTGTCTAAATGACACTTGAGCATGTGTTTAAACATGCCAAGCACTTGGCTCACTCGAACTATGCAACAAGCAGTAGCAGCAGCAACACAAGGAGCCCGGCAGCAACACCAGCAGCACGGCAGCAACATCAGCAGCACGGCAGCAACATCACCACCACACGGGTTGACACTCGCCGGCATCAAAGTTCATGGGTGTCCTGGCGGCAGGGGAAACATCCTGTCGATGCGCTGATAAGTCCCTATCCCCGACATCACCCCACCCACCATGTGGGCATCCCTCCAACGCATCTTGTCTCGTCTCGAGAACGAAGGCGAGTGGCAATGTTGCCAATGTTGTTGGGTAAACTCATAATTGGAATTAATTATGCATTCGCACTTTGCGGCCAACTTTTCAAGTGGCTGGAGTGGTTAGCTGGAGTCAGTTAGCTGGGCTGAGACTGAGACTGGGACCGAGTGTGTGGGCTGCTCCTTTAATTGTCCAAGTGAACAAACACAGGCTACGCCTTGGATAGAGCCACCAAAACGGGGACAGGGCCAGATCCCGATCCAAGAAACTTGCGGCTGCCGGCAAGGGTTAAGTGCAAATTGCAGTTATCGTAAGTATTTCTTAAACATAGTTTAGACTTAGCATTGTCCTTAGATAAGAGGATGTTCCGAGTTGAAAATAGGTATGCTTGGGAAATGTTTTATCAAGAATTATAAAAGTGAACATTAAATACTTGTTACTTTTAATTTAAATTCTTTTCTAAAAAGAAAAGCAATACATTAAAAGAATGAATACAAAATCATTTAAGACATTAAGCAATCAATAAACATTTTTATACATTTTGATATGATAGCATTAGCTTTTATTTCCCGTTTAAAACCACTATCCATTTATCCCACAATATATGTTCCGAATTAAGTTCCGTATGACACTCCAACAATGGACCTCACCTGGACCTGGTTTGCATTTGAAAGGCAGGCGAGTCGGGGAACATCCCCAGTTAGCAATTCTCGGCTGGCAGCCATTCTAATTTAAGTTAGCCCATTTATCTTATGGCTTTCCTCTTTGTGCGCACTTTTTCTGTTTGCCACCCGCTCCAATCTCGTGCCTTAAGCAGTCCAATTTGTTGCTCCTTTATGGCTACTTATATTCCATGTCCTGCCCACACCTGAGCCCAATAATTACTGTGTGCCCGCTTTGGCATTGTCCTGGCGTTTGCACTGCGGATTTGGCCCTTTCTTCTGCCCATATTTCTGGCAAAATGTATGCATAAAGGCATGGCCAAGATGTTGGGAATTAATTAAAATTTGACAGCTAATAAAACGCAATCGCAGCCATGAGGGAGCGATTTCACAATGGCCATTTAAGTTGCGAATTGCGGACAATTGCACGCTTCATTTCGCCTGTTTTGACAAGCCATCGGAATCGAGTCACAAAAGACAGCCACAGAGACCCGCAGAAAAATGACAAAAGGCTGTCGCAAATCACAAGTCCTGCATCGCAACTCGCGGATGATTTGCACTTTAAAAAAGCGGGTGGCAATATATTTGATTTTTAGTTAAATAATAATAAATTAAAATTATTTTCTGACTTGTTTCAAAAAAAGAGGGACCTGAAAAATAGAAAGCCTATTTAAACTTTAAATAGAATGTAAAAGGAATTTCCAAATGGAAATTAATTGTATGCCAAATTTAATTACTGTATATTCCATTTGAAGTATCCATAAACTCTAAAATAAAAATTAACGAATTAATAATTACAAAATATTCTATAATAAAGTAAGTTTAAGAAATGGTTCTAAGAAAAAGTTTTTGGAATTTTAAACCACAGGTATTTATTGACTTATGAATGTTTTTACTTTTGATTTTATTAAGGAGTTTAGAAGTGGTTTGTATGTGGTTTAAATACATGGAACTTAAAGATAGTATTTGATGGGTAATATGTATAAGCCTTGCATTTCTAAAACGTATGAATTCATTTTCTTTGGTGTCCCCAAAGTCGAACAATGGCGGTCAGCAATGGGCCGGAAACGTTCCGACAAGAAGGGACTTTCTGGGTCTGGTCGCGTGTCATGAGCAAACAAGATAATGTTACAGCAGTCATCGCAAATCGGGCGCGGAAAAAGGTCCAGGAGGCCATGAGGATTGTGTGGAGAGTGGGTGCTGGTATTCGGTTTTGGCAGTTTGTTTTTGCCCCAACCCTCCAGGCGATTTGTACGAAAAATGCAAATGAAAACGTCTCAGCTTACGCCAAGTCCTTGTGCCAGCAATCTGTGGATATGGATGTAGATGTGGAAGTGGAAGTAGAAGTGGACTGGAAACCGAAATGGAGAAGGAGCTGGAGCTGGCTTAATGAAAATGCTGCCACGGGCCACAGGCTGCCAAGTGGCTGGTGTCCTGTGCTGGTCTCCGTAGGCTGGGAAATGATTGATCGCCGGCATCAATTTCCCAGAAATGTTATTGCCATGCGTTCGACAGTTGGTCGATTGCTGGTCACCAAGTGCTTTAATTATGCCTTAAAGCCTTGTCTTCACACGGGTTAAGTTTCGGAATGACATTTTCTTGTCGACAAGTTATAACGCAATTCGTATATAAATAATTAACTGAACCTATAAATTTAGCTACATTATAATTTGAAAACATAGATGGCAAGAGAAACCAAAAAAGAGATATTTTGTCTTAGGAAAGACATTTAAGGTTTAATTTATTAATGTAAATAAGTAAGCACTTGAACTATTTGTTTAACAATTTTTATATCTATACATTTTTATAAATTCGAGAGGTAAAAGTATTGTAATTATTTAAAATACCTCACTTCTGTGGTTTTATCTTCACTTTGTTATTTATATTTAAATATTTATTTTCCAATAAATACCTTTATATTATGTTATGTTTATTTATAAAAATAATTTAAATTTCAGCTTTAACTTTTAAGACTTCCATTATTACTTCCAATTATTACTAGCCAAGCTATAATTAGTATTAGCCTTAATTCATATAATGACTTGATGGGATAGATGGATAAGGACTTGTATCCATAACTTCTAGTTCAAAAGGAACTTATCAAAAAGGAAATTCAATAAGTGGTTGTACTTTAATTGGATTTTTAAAAAATGATTAAAAGTGACCAAGATCTTCAAGATCCCCTTGAAGCGTACCCGATCTTCGGCCAATCAGCGTCTACAGCGACTACTTTAGCGTTTTCATTTATGAAAATGTCTGAAACATGTTTCGCTTGCGCAAACAGAATGCGAGTATGCAATAAAATTCCATTACAGCAATGGCTCGACTTAAAAACTTGGCCGAAAAAGAAAGGCAGGATGAAAATACGTTGCATACGCCCGTGGCAGTGGGGCAGGAATGGGAAAAGGAAAAGGAGGAGCCACCAGCAAGTGTATTAAAAGCCCGCAGACATTTTGCCTGTACGTGAGTGCATCGCATGTGCTTGGCTGTGTTTGTGGGTGTGTGTGTGTGTGTGTGGTGTGTGTGTGTGTGAAAAAGTCCTTGCATATTTTATGAAACTTGGCAAAGCATTTAACAACACAGGCACACCCACAGACAGAGGCAAACTCATTACTTGAATTTATTTAGCACTTAAACCAAATGTTTCATTCGCCTCAGCCGGCTGATTTGGTGCTCATATTCGTACAGTTCCGGAGTTTTGTTGCCACTTGATGGTTGCAAGTGCCCCAGCCCGCTGTTAGCTCTTTGAACTCCGTCTAAGGATCAAAACTTCTGGGCTTCTTGAGGATCCCGCCGGGTGAGCAAAAGGTTGTACACTGCGGAGCAGTTCGTACACTATCTTGAATGCGCTTTAGGAGACTATTTTTTCGCCTATTTTGGGGCAACTGGGAGCAAGGATCGTTCTTGCCATGGACAAAGCCACATCGTGGGCAAAGATCTGCAAGGGTATTGGCTACCAGCTCGTTTTTGGCACAGGCTTCAATGGAGCCACTGGACAGGATCTCGCTGCTGGACGAGGGAGAGATGTAGAAAGGCGGAGTGGGTGCCGGCACAGGCACTTTGACACCACATCTGGGACACTTCTGGAGGACCATTGAGTCCGCTAACTTCTCTTCCTGGCACTCACATTCCGAACAGGAATCTTCGGTGATCTTCTGCATTCGACTCGTCTTCCGCGGTGTGTAGTACAGCGCTTCGATGGGCCTGAGACCTCGCTTCCGCTTCTTCAACGTAAATGTGGTGGGCTTTCCTTTGGGCCGCCAGAATTGTGTAGTAGATCGCATCTCCTTCAGCTGTCCCTCCATCTTTTTCTGGACCAGCTGGGCCGTCAACCGTTTTCGGTCCATTGCCTGGAGGTGAATAGATATTAGTAATTCATTTTTGTTTCATCGTACAATTATTGCATTATAAATCAAGTTATTTGGTTGAAATGTTATACTATTCCTTACGGTTTTATATTTTACCGCCTTGAAGGAGACATAAAGAATATATTCAAAAAACTAGACTCAAAACTTTTGCAATCGTTTGTTCTATATGAACAACAAAGAACTAATTGCATTTGAAGTAAATAAAAGTGTTATAATGAATAAACTTTGTGGATACGATAAAAACACTACAAATTTGATTATGTCTAACCGTATAATATTTTTCACCCATTTTCGTAAAAAATTTATGATGAAAAATTAATATGAAAAATGCAAAAATTGAACAAAAAATAAAATGTTCGCAAAATGATAGAGGTTGATAGTTTGGGTCGTAAGCTGCGCAAAACATTTTCTACTTCAGCACTGGGCCCTATTTAAGCCCAAGTATAATAAAAAACGTTTAAAAATGTAATAATTTTGCACAAAATCTAAAACAAAATACAATCGGTCATAAATGTGTATGTGTTTAAGGGACTTAAAGACTGAAAAAATAAGTTATTCATAAACAATGGAAAGAAATTAAGCCATATAAAACTGAAATAGTGTCGAATTGGTATTAAATAAATGTATGGTCAAATTATGTTTTTTGCTAAAAAGGAAGAATGAGAAGGTTTCTTTAGTTGTGACTTAATATAAATACACAAAAAACAAGAAAGGAAAGCTAACTTCGGGCGGAGCCGAAGTTGATATACCCTTGCAGAATACTCTGTAAATTATATTCTCCAAAATTATTCATATTATGCATTCTTAATACTCATAAAAAATCCCAACTTCCTAACTTTAAAAACACCAAAGTTATGGCATTTCCAATCGTTTAGTTATATGGCAGCTATAGGATATAGTCGGCCGATCCTTATGAAATTTAATAGGTCGGATTGATTGGCCAAAAATAAAACCCATAGGAAATCCCAACTTCCTAACTTAACAAACACCAAAGTTATGACATTTCCGATCAATCAGTTATATGGCAGCTAAAGGATATAGTCGGCCGATCCCGGCCGTTCCGACATATATATTGCGTGCAAAGGAAAGAAGGGTGTGTGCAAAGTTTCAATTCGATATCTTTAAAACTGAGAGACTAGTTTGCGTAGAAACAGACAGACGGACAGACGGACAGACGGACATGGCTATATCAACTCAGGAGGTGATCCTGATCAAGAATATATATACTTTATAGGGTCGGAGATGTCTCCTTCACTGCGTTGCACACTTTTGACCAAAATTATAATACCCTCTGCAAGGGTATAAAAAGAGAAACAGAAGTTTGACCTACCTTGAACATTAGCTTGTGGTCGTTCATCACGGTATTGAGGTTCTGCAAGGAGTACCGCATCTCGGAGTCGCGCAGGTCCTGCTCCTCGTCCGGCGCCATGGTCACGCTGCTGATGCTCACGGCGGACTCGAAGGAGCCGAAGATGCGGCTGAAGGTTGGAAACAGTCGCCGTTTGCGATTCTCCCGCTCCAGCCGCTCCGCATTCATCTCCTGCTCCATGAGCTTCTTGTACATGGCGCTGTCCATTCGGGTGTCCTGCGAGAGACGGCGACTGTGGGGCGAAGCGCTCCTCGTTCCCTTCAATCCACGCATGCCGAAGGGAATGAGGCGTGTGCTGAGACGCTGCTTGTTCCAATAGTTCTTGGCAATCAGCCTGTCCACCTGGCTCATCTGTTTTGGCTTCGCAGGATCGGTTTCCACAAAATTGAGAAATATATCCCGGGGCGCCTCTATCTTTGCGAACTGCAAGCCGGATGCAATGTCACTGAGATACTCCATGTACTTCGCAGATAGCATCTGCTTGACCTCACCCCTACTAAAGCCCGACTGCATCAGGTCATCGTGGAGCAGCTGGAGGCTGTTCCACATATGGTGTTTCCCCACCACCAGCATAAGTCCCTTGACATCGGCCCCGAACTCCACGAACTTGTTGTTCTCGATGATGTCCTTTAGGAACGTCTGCAGGGGCTTGTGTTTGTCATCGGACTCCAGATCTTTGATCAGGAACCTTCCAGGAGTATACTCCTTCAGGTCCTTTTGTCTCCTAGAGTCCCTAGCCTCCGTACCATACTCATCCTCCGGGGACTTTACTATCCGTTCGTAGTTATAGGTATCGTGTGCATTGTCGAAGAACCTATGGAAATCTTCTGGCAGGCCTTCATAGTTGTATTCCTGCAGCTGGCGAAGTTTTTCCTTGGAGGGAAATGTGGGAGTGCTATACCCAATAGAATCACGTCGTGGAGCGACAGTTTTATTTAGATTTTCGTCAATTTGAAGGCCCAATTGATCGCCAGCTTGTGGAATGCTTTTATCCATAGGTCGACCCATGTCTTGAAGGTCTTCCCCAATTATTTTACCGAAAGGTGGCCTAGACTTGGTAATGAATGTATCGGAAACGCTTTTCTTAAGGAGAAGTCGTTGTTTCTGACTGGACATCAGGGGAACGCTAAGTGATCGGCGAGTGGAGAGCCTTCTGAACTTTTTCGACCTCGCCGCATCTGAATCGTTGGCCCGGATGTACATAATATCCTTCTTAAGAGTCTGATAGTGACTGTCCACCTTTTCTTTTGGTGGTGCAATACGTAGTTGTTTGGGTGGTACGAGTGGCCCGTGGATTGATTTACGTATACTTTTCCTTGGTCGACTGGCGTTTATGATTTTCTTCAGCGATTCACTCAGAGAAGCAATGCTATCCGAATCGGCATATACTTGGGTTTCGCTTTTGTCTTCCCGTAACTTAGGTATCTTCTTAAGTCTTTTCACCATTACATCAGTGGCATCTGAAGGGCGTGTTTTTGGGTCATACAATACTTCCTTGGAGATTATGGTACTGGATGTACTATCATCGATGACTTTTCCATCGGGTGAGCGCTTTTTTCGGCGCCTGCGGTGTTTAATAATCGCGGAAAGATCTTCAAACAAAAGAGAGACTAAATTTCGTTGCTCCCCAAAAGAGCTCTGTTTTTCTGGTTTTACCTTGCCAGCTTTGCCAACTTTTCTAGCTTTTCCAGTTTTTCCAGCTTTGTCAGCATTGTCAATATGTAAACTTTGTTTGCGAACATATTTTGTTTTTTTATCCCGTTCTACTTCTAATGCAGTTGCGACAGTTTTTTTCGGATTGGAAATGTGCTGCCTGCGCTTCTTAATTTTTTTATTTTCATCAAAAAGCGCTCGCAGCTCATCTCTAATAACCAAATCCACATAGCTTGTTTTCTGCTTCCTAAACTTTTTTTTATACTTTCTGGCCTTTTTTGAAGTTAATACTCTATCTTTAAGGACTTTCGGCTGTAGCGGAAAGTCTAGTTTAAACAACTTCCTAAATTTCAATGGAAGTGATTTTCTGGCCTTTTTTGAAATTGGTTGTTTATGCTCTTGTGATTCTGTAAAGATTGAAATGTCAGACATTGTCAGCATTTTCCTCTTAAGATTTTTGCGTTGTTTTCTGATGACTTTTTCACTCATGTATAAAACATTCTTTTGATCTCGTTTTTTCGCTTTCTTTGGTTTATCAAATTTTGTTAGCTCTCTTACCAATAACTTCAATTCATCAAAAGACGGCCTAGTGGGATCTGGTTTTTGAGTTCCCTTCTGTTTTCTTTTAAGATTTTGTTGAATTATGAGGTCATCTATGCTGAAATATAAAGGGTTTGCCTTGGGCTTTTTCTTCTTATGGGTTTTCTTAATAGGTTTTCTTATTTTGTATGGTTTGTATTCCAATTCTAGTTCTTCTATTTCTGGTTCTTTGGTGATCCTTCTTTTCTTGACCTTGCGGTATTTGGGCAGCACTTCACTTTTCCAGAATTCATTAAAGTCCCCTATGTCGTTATCCACGCTTACCCTTATCCGACGATATTTTCGTGGTCGCTTGCCCCGGATAGCAGATAGATATTTCCGCACTTCGTCGGCCTCCGCCTCCCAGATTTGCTCTTGACCCTCAATAAACTGATGATAGTCCGTGGTTTTTTGCCACTTTTTTATCGCCTGGGCCAATCTGCGGAAGCACTTGTCCACCAGTCGTTGTGGATGCCGTCGCTTCTTTAGCTGTTTCCGCAGAAGATTTAGCCTGCGTTGGAGTCTCTTTTTCAACTGTTCCTGCTGTCGAATTAGACGACTTTGTAGCCTCAAGGCTCTTGACCAGTTGCGAAGCCAGTGCTTGTGCATGGCCAGCATCCCGCTTACCGCCCTCCTCGTCTGCTCCCGTTTCTCCAGCGCCGCATCCTTTTGCCGCAGATCTATGGACTGCCGCATCCTTTCGAGCAGGTGGTCACGAATCCTGCACATCACCTCCAGACGTCGTTGGGCACGACGCTTGCGCTGTCTCAATTCCTTGGCCTTCCGACGGATCTGCTTCTTCAGAAGGGCCATCTGGGTGCTCCGGTGCAAAAGTGGCACTTGCATCTCGTACTGACTGAATTTATTGCTTACTATAAATAACTACCAGGGATTTCTGTTAGGTATAAAAAAAAGGTTTCCCAGCTACTATATTTAATACAGTTGAGCTGTCATCAATATATAAAAAGAAAACTATCAAATTTGTGGGATTGTCAAATACGTACTTACATATGTACATTGCTTAAAATAATAAAACCAGGTTGGGTTGCAATTGCAAATAATTTTTTAATAACAATTAATAGTTTTTACCTTTTTTTTAAACGATAAAATACAAAGAGTTTTGTAAATAAATGTTATAATTAATATAAAAGAAATTACTTCTTACGCTTCTGTTTTGTTTTCTTGCTTGATCAACATTTTTTTAAAGTAACTTAACATTTTTGTATGCTATTTTGCTTGCCAGTTTTTGATTTATTTTTTAGTACTTTTTCTTTTTTTTTAGTACTATTCTTTTTTTTTATAACAAGTGCTACTTTTCTTTAAACACCAGTAATATTTCTATAATAAATAAGCTTTTGAGTATTTCGAAAATCCCCTTTCAAAATCATTTAAAAGATATAAAAGATCACCGTCTAGTCAATTCAAGGGGGTTTTGCTGCACCCTTATCAGTCAGTGTAAATCACCTGCAGGTGGTCGTTCGGGGACTCCACTCAGCTTATTGATAAGGCATCACAAAGCATCCATATGGAGATAGGCACTTCTTAGGGGAAGCACCCGTTCGGAGATCGATTGCTATATAAAGAACAGAGATCAGATTTCAGTATCGACAGTCAACAGTCAGCATTCAGATCAGTCCATTCAATAAGCAGCAGATCAATTAAGCAAGATGAGCAATTTCATTTCCCTAATCGTGGTGGCCATTGGCGTTCTTGGTGCCTTTGCGGCGGCGATGCCTCAGCGACCTTTGACCCAACCGCTGATCTACTATCCCCCACCACCGACACCACCCAGAATCTACAGGACGCGCCGCCAGGTGTTGGGTGGTTCAGTGAGCTCCAATCCGAAAGGAGGAGCAGATGCCCGAATGGATCTGACCACTGGGATTGGATCTTCGGAGCACAATGTGATTGGACAGGTCTTTGCAGAGGGCAACACCCTAAAAAAACCGGTGTCCACTCCAGTAACCAGCGGAGGCACCTTGGCTTACAATAAGTGAGTGTCCTGGGAATGTAGAATACTATATTTTCGTGTACCAATTAATATTATTTCCCTTAATCAGCAATGGCCTGGGGCTCGAACTGACCAAAACCCATACGCCCGGAGATCGGGACGTCTTCAAGCAGACGGCCTCCGCCAATCTGTTTAATAATGGAGTCCACAGTCTGGATGCCAAGGCCTTTGCCTCGCAAAACGAGCTGGCCAATGGATTCAAGTTCGACCGGAATGGAGCTGGCCTGGACTACTCGCACATCAATGGACATGGAGCCACACTGACGCACGCCAATATTCCTGGACTGGGCAGGCAGCTGGAGCTGGGAGGACGAGCCAATCTGTGGCAGTCGCAGGATCGCAACACGAGGATCGATCTCGGCGGCAGGGCCTCCCAGTGGCTCAGTGGTCCCTTCCAGGGACGACGCGATCTGGGCACCAATCTGGGCATCACCCATTACTTCGGTAGAAACTAGAGATTGATAAACATTTTAAAGGCACCAAAAAATTAATAATTGACAAATGTTCTAAAAAAAATATATAAAAATGTATTTTATTAAAATCTTTGTTCTTAAAAATTGTATACAAATGTATTTAATTTAAGACTTTGTTCTTATAATGTGATATTTCATTTTGAAGTTCTAGAAAAAATAGGATTGGGTTTCAATTATTAAAATATTTAACTGTATTAAATTTGTTTTTTATTATTTTAAATACCAATTATCCTTTTAATTTCACAGTTCTAGCTTAATAACTTGAAAGTAGTTCAATATATTAATTGATCAGATAATCTTATTTAATTGGTATAACACAATATTATTAACAAAAACATATATTTTTCTTCACCTTCTGGTTTATTTTGAATATATTAAGACAATGGAGAAAACATTATAAGACCAATACCTGTTAATTCCCAAAACTATATAGTCCTTCAATTTGAATTGAATTAAACAAAGGAAATTTTTATTGAAAATCAACATAACATCAAAAGGAAATGAACTAAACAAAACTCAATGGAAAAATCGGATACGTTATCTGTAAATTAAAGACCTACAAAAGCCTTGGCCTGCTGTTCGCCAGCCTCCTTGAAGAGTTCCGCTGTCTTCAGGAGTTTAATAAAACGCGGTGAGTACTCGGTGGACATGCGCTTCTCCAGGACCTCATCCAGACTGGCCTGCTTCAGGACCTCCTGCAGACGGGCATTCCGCTGATGGCGCTCCGCGGAATCGGCCAATTTCCTTAGGTAAACCAGATCCAGGAGCAGCTCGTCGCGCACTCCGGACGCAGCCTGCTGATCCTCCATCGGCAAATCCTCATACTGCCGGAGTAACTTCTTGACGATCCGTGACTTTTGGTTGATTTTACCCGGATCGAGCAGGCGCACATCCTGGCTAAAATCCTCGGCCAGGACACGAAGCGAGCTCTGCCTCTTCTCGCGAATCTTCTGCTCCTCATTCGAGGTCTTGAGAATCAGGTCGTAGAAATCCTGAAGATCCGGACGAAGTGGAATGCAGGCCCGTCGGCGCACCTGCTGATCAATGATGTTACTGATGGCCGCCATCGTGCCTCGCACCATGTCCTCCGTCTGGCGGAAATAGTTCTCGTTCTTGTCGTTCCGGATCTGGTAGAAGTTCTTGGTCTGCTTCTGCGAGCACTTGCGATTCCTCTGCAGAACGGCCAACAGCCGATCCATGCCCGGATCGTTACCCACCGCCTCGAAGACGGCCGACACAATGTCCTCTGAAATCTTGCCCGTGATCAGCTTTTCGTAGCTATTCGACTGGGGCTCAAGAGGTTCTGTCTGCGGTCGGTTGCTGCTTAAAAGAAAGATTATTACATATTATTATTAGTTATTTAAAAATAGGTATGCACACAAAAGTGTAACCTTTTAAAATGTTACATTTATGGAATTTTTAAACTGTCTTGTTACTGTTTATTAGGTTTGTTTTTAAGATTTTTTAAAATGTCCTAGAAAAACTTTTTTTCTTCAATTCCGTTTAAAAAACTTAAAATTCATTGAAAAGAATTTTTGAAAGTCGAATAGTTGTACATGGGAAAAAACTCGAAACAATTTCGAAAACAAGAATCCGTTCGCTTGATATTGGTGTTCAAAATGATAAAACAAAAGTCACTGTTTTTAAAACATTGCAATCAGCATGAAATTATTCATAAACAAGAGAGAACGCTATAGTCGGGTGCCCCGACTATCAGATACCCGTTACTCAGGTAAAGGGAGTGCGAGGGAGATGGAGATAGAAACTTTGATCACGCATAACTTTTTAAGGAATGGTCCGATTTGAAAAATTTCTTCTACATTTCGATAGGTATTGATAAACACAATAAAACTGCATTTTTACTTTTCCGAAATATATAAATTTTTAAAATCGTATATAAGCGATTGTGGGCGTTAAAGGGGGCGTGGCACCTTTTTGAAAAAAACTTGCGCTGCGTAGGAACTCCTAGAATCTGCATGCAAAATGCCAATCTTCTAGCTTTTATAGTTTCCGAGATCTCAGCGTTCATACGGACGGACAGAGGGACAGACAGACAGACGGACAGACGGACATGGCTATATCGACTCGGCTAGTGACCCTGATCAAGAATATATATACTTTATAGGGTCGGAAACGCTTCCTTCTAGCTGTTACATACTTTTGCACGAATACAATATACCCTTTTACTCTGCGAGTAACGGGTATAATTATTGTAACATTGGCATTTGTTTAGAGCTTTATGAACTAATTTAAAAAACACAAGAAAACATGGTGTAAAATTGTCATATAAGTAACCTCACAACTCACCACTGGCCTGCTGCTTTTTGTCCTTCTTTTGGGGCAACTTTAGCTGCTTCTTTTGGTTGTTCTTTTGGATCTGCTTTTGGAGCCACTTTTGGAGCACTTTTTGGTGCTTCTTGATGAGTCTGTTTGGACTGGCTCTTTCCGTTCCATTTAATGGAAGGCCTTTTCATATGACCTTCTTGCTTCCTTGGCTTTTCATTATCCTTTTTTGGTTCCCACTCTTCGCCACCCTTATCCTTGGACTCCTCACCCACCTCGCGAATACGTCTTTCCTCATTTGCCTCCAGATCATCTAGACTATCCTCCAATTGCGCAGTATTTCCATGAAGTCGAACATCCTGGACATCTTCACTTGACCCAGGATGCAACCCCCTATAAGCTGGCAGCAAACTAATGGATCCATTGCCATAAAACTGTTTCGTTTTCGGGTCCCCGCACACATTGGCATTGATGGTAACGTTGAGCTTCATGGCATCTGGACCATTGCAAATATTCTCCGATGGAGTGGTTGGAGCTGAAGTGGTGATGCTGGTCCCTGCGGCAGTTGTTGCCAACGAAGTTGTGCAATTAGGAGGCAAGGTCGACTCAGTGGTTACATTCCCAACAGGAAGAGGTAGGGGTGTGGTAATGGGCACACATCTGGGATCTAAGGTGGTCGCGGTTGCCATTGCCGCCAAGTAAGGATCGTTCTTCAGTTGCTTGTTGAAAAAGGGTCCAAAATATCGATGGACTCCAAAGGACTTAATCGGTGGCGACACGGGTTTCATTGGCAATTGCTGGCCATTTCGTTGCATGGGCAGTTGCTGTTGCATTGGTTGCTGTTGCATTGGTTGCTGCTGCGGCAGATATTGCTGCTGTTGCGGCCGATATTGCTGCTGTACGGGCAATGGTTGCTGAACGACTGGATTTTGTTGCACAGTCTGTTGCTGCTGCTGTGGTGACTTCAGATTCTGCATTTTTTGCAACTCATTGAAAAAATGGGTTAAATTAAAACTTGCCTGGAAATTAGAAGAATGATGACGTTGACGGTTTAGATCTGGTTGCTGGACTGGTTGTTGCTGTTGCTGTGGCAGCTGAAGTTGCTGCAGTTGCTGTGGTTGCTGCAGCTGCTGTTGTTGCTGCAGAGGCTGCTGTTGCATCTGTTGCGGCTGCAATTGCACCTGCTGAGGTTGCTGCTGCTGCATGGGAAACATTGCATTGGGTCGCTGATTCATCATGGGCACCAGATCTCTAGTGGGGTCGTAGATATTCGAGGAATCATCGTCATGAGCAGCTTCCAGTTCATCATAATGTGCCAGCAATTCATGACTTGGATAGGACCTTTCCAGCGAATCCTCGGCATCCGGTGTGAGCAAACCATTGCCCAAAGTTCCAAAACGAACACGATTCCCATTGTGGTCTTCGAAATCGTCCAACAGGTGAACCAACCGTTTGGCCACCGCATGTTGTTGCTGTGGTTGCGCTTCTTGTTGCTGCGGCTCCAACTGCTGCTCCTTATCATCCAAGGATCTCTTGGACCTTCTGTTCTGCCTGGGAAATCTGCGAAGCCTCGTCTGCCGCTTGCCACGATCCTTATCGAGCGAAAATTCATTGGCCAACAGCTTGACCACCGCATCGGGATTTACTTTTGGAGCTGATGCCGCCGCCTCTTTGGCCTCCACTTTGTTGATGTCCTCGCACTCGGATTTTTCCTCTGCGGGCTCCTGAAGCTTTAGCTTGATGTTGACTTTGACAACACTGTCCTCCGTTTCCGGCTTATCCACCTCCTTCGATTTGCACTCCGTTTCGCCATCGGAATTGCCGTCATGGTTGTCGATGCTATCATTGGTTTCAGCACTTTCACGTTTTTCCAAATTGTCTTTGCTTTCGGAGTTTGTGGCCAGTTCAGCTTCGGTATTGGAATGGAGCTCACTACTGGTGTCCAAATTAAGAGGCATTACTTCTTTTAAAGGGAAATCATTCTCTGATTTCACCACTGCAGCAGATAAAGTGTCAGCTTTGATAGGGGCCTGCATCTCCTTTTCAACCTTCTTTGCTTCACGTTTCACTTTTACCTCGGCCTCTGTCTCCAACTTATCCTCCATTTTGTCCTCAATGGCCGAAGTTTCAGAATCTAGTTTAACTTCTGGCTTACTCAAAGCTTCCTCATCTAATTTGACTTCGTCATGCAAGTCCTCCAACTTGACCTCTCCATGAAAGTCTTTTTCTTTGGATTCATGATCTTTCGAAGCACTCGCTTCCTTAACGTCCAACAAACTAGTTTTGAGAGCCATTTCGTGATCGGAAATGCTCTGATCCTCATCAACTTCACTGGGGGATGGTAAAGCTTCATCTTCTAAAGGCAGTCCAGATCCCAGGGGTAAAACTTCCAAGCCCGATAGATCTTTGGCTTCCAAAGCCTCCAAATGGGGTTCCCTTTTGTAACGATCCAGGTCAATGGGCATGCGATTACTCCTCTCGTAATCCCGCACATTGGTCATCTGTCGCTGGTTGATGGGATGAAAGCGATCATACTGGGGCACTCGGTAGTCGTAGCTCTGCGGCAACTCCATCATTTGATTTTGACTCATATCCATGGCGGTATTAACAGGCTGCAGGTACTCCAAGTTCTCGTTCGGTGCCATTGCCCTGTTAATGCCCATTCGCTGATCCTCCACATCGGCATCCTGACTTGCCTCGAACTGCTGCTGCTGCTGCTGATCCTCCAGCTCCCTCCTCCGGATCATGCTGTCCACCATTTGGTTGCGATGGATGTCCATCAGGGCGTTGCTGGGCAGCGAGGGACCCAGTCCTTTGAGCATCAGTCGACTGCTGGTCTTCAGCTTGATCTCGTTCATGGGATTGAAGCCACTGCAGGAGCTGCGCTTCATCTGCTTGAGCGGAGAAGCTTCACATATGCTGCCGGGTCTGGAGATTTTCAGGGCCCTCTCGGAGGCCTCCTGCTCGATCTTGGAGAGCTTGTAGTTCGCCTCGTGGGCCAGCTTGTTGGACGTGGCATGGGGGAAGGCCAGGCGATTGAGGGTACTCTCGTAGACGCCATCTGGAATGGGGGCATCCCCGAACTCGGGCAACTTATCCGCCCAGCCGCTCTCCTCCACATTCTTCTGGCCATCCTTCGACCTCTGCTCCTTCTTGACAGCCTCCACACCCTCCTGGTCACTCAGCATCTGCTGCACCTGCTTCAGCTTTATGTCCAGATGGGAGAGGCCACTGTCCTGCGGATTCATAGGACTCTTAGTCACCTGGTACTTGCGGACAATGGTATCGTCGCCCACTTCCTTGTATTTCAGTTTTACCTTGCCCATCTCCGTGTGCTCCATGTCCTTGGCATGCTGTTCTATGATCTTCTTGGCCAGGGATCGCTCCTGTTTGCCGCCGGAACGCTTCTGGTTGGCACTGCTCTTGGCCATGCCCGCCTGGATGTTGCGGAACCAGGCGTCCGCCGCCTCCTGCAGCACGTGCTCCTCCTCCTCGGCCTTCGACTTGGAGTCACCCACCTGGGCCTGGGCAAAGTTGGAGAGCATGTCGTCGATAGAGTTCCGCCGATCCCGGCACTGCTCCTGCTGCTGCTGCTGCGGACTAGCCTGCTCCTGCAGGCCGCCATAGGAGGTCTTCAGCTCCTGCAGCTCGGGACGAGCCAGCTCCACCGCCCGGCTGAAGCTGAGCAACTTGTCGCTGCCCTGCACCGGATTCTCCTGATCCCGCTTTTCCTCCGCACTGGAGACCTGCTGCGAGGAGCCATGGCCGCTGAACACCATCAGGGCCCACCAGAGTTGGAGGAAAATCATTTTGTAATGGGGCTCGGATTTCCTTGAAATAAAAATGGGATTGCCGTTTAATTGAAAACTCTCTACACTTGCCTACACTATGTCTGTAAGCCTGCTTTTTGAAATATAAAAGTTTTGTGCCATTAAATAACTTAATGTTTATTCTAAATTTAGCATTAAATTAAAATTATAATTCAGTCACCTAATTAACCTAATTAATCAATATCTAATAACCTAGTTATTCTTAGAAATCACTTGCCTTTTAACCCTTTAATGAGAAAGGATCTAAAAAGTTTATTAAGGTCTTGCCATTAAGTTAGAACCAGATAATTTGGGATTACTTGTTCTTTCATTGCATTTGATTATAAAATAATGACTCAATATAAGGTTTTATGATATACATATTTGCATATAAACAAATTCTGTTCCTTTCTTTTGGCTTATGAAAACATTTATTACTTGCAAAAAAAATAATTATCTTAAAAATTATTTCTGGCTCCAAGCAAGTAAGAGAAACTATTTAGTATATTGTAATTGCTCTAAATAAGATACTCATGAAAATAAACTAAGAGCTCTTTTCAAATGTTTTCCTCCTACAAATATTAACTAAGTGTACAAAAGCATCCTTTTAAAATCAATTGTTGCTTTGAATTTTTCTTTACTCACTTATATACTATTGTTAAATATTATTTGGCATAAGGCTAAAACAAGAAGTTTTGCTTTCCCATCTCAGGCCATCACCTACTCGATCTGGATGGGGTTTTGGGGCACTGGTAGTCGAGTCTTCCACGCAGTGGCTGGCAACAGGTGTCTGCCGCACAAGTTTGACAACGTGTCCCGATAAGAGTCGCAATGTCACCAGTTCGCCCTTACCCCTCCCCTCCCCTCCCCTCCCATCACCCCCTCGGAACACGCCCCCTTTCCGCCCAAAGGGAACTGCTGTATTGTGTCAAGTTTTTGCACACGTACGACGACTGCGCCGGCGGCTTCCGACAGCTGTTTAACATGAGATGTCCTTTGTTGCCCACCCAAACACACTCACACACAGCCACACACCCATACACACACATCCACACACACCCACACTATTCAGGCACATGGGTAAATGATTCTACCGCCTCCCAACTTTCAACTCCCAACGGGAATATTGTTTCCTCGCCCATGTAAATCAGATTTTTGTTTTATACCAAAACTTTTGCCAATGGAAGTGGAAATGGAAATGGAATGGGGATGCGCAGCGACAATAACATTTCCTATTTCCTTCTCTCGCTGCGAGTGTGCTTGTGTGTGTGTGTGAGTGTGTTATCCTGCATGTTGTCAATGCCAAAGTCAGCACAATGCGCCGCTCGAAATAATTGAAAATAATCAAACATTCAGTGGGAGCAACTGCAGCAGCCAGGAATCGTGGCATCCACATCCACATCCACATCCAGAGCAGCCAGGAGCATCAACACCAGCAGCAGCACAGGCAGAACTAATGTAATTAGCGGGCACAGAGCGCATTCGCTTTTGATTAAAAGTTTTACCATCCACCACTCACTTGATAATCCACTGAACAACACAATGAAGCAATATGAATAAACGCATTGTGTGTTGTTTAGTTTGCAGAATTATCGGTGGGAATGGGCGGTGTATTTCCCCTTTGGTTTTATAACCAAAGATTCTGGTAATGAAGTTAAACAGCGTTTTTTATTCGTACCATAAGAGGGAGCCATAGTTTGCATTTGACTGGGGGAGTTCATTGTTTACACAATACTTTGCTAACTTCATTTATATTTGATTTTAGTTTCTTAGAAATCCTTAGAAATATCAAAGTGTCAAAAAGTTAATTGTTGTAGAAGGGGGTTTTATGCTTGTGAAAAGTCTTCAATTAAATAAATATTTATATTTATCCTAAGTACTTTTTCTAGTATGTCTAATATATTTTATTGCAATAAACTAGTAATTGATTTGAGCTTTCAACATTTTCATTTTAGGGAAAATCAAGTGCTTTTGTTAAATTTAAATTATTGTAATAATTTATGTAGAAAAATATATGCGTATACGTAATATAAATATTCAAAGTTTTGAGGGCTCATAAAGTAGATTGCATGAAAAACGTTGAAAAATAATAAAACATTTCATTTATCTTAACGTTAACGACTTTATATGGCCTAAAAATGTTGAATATTTATATTACGTATACGCAGATTTGCAAGCAAAAATAATAGGTCTCTCGATATTGACAAATTGCGGCAAATTCCCTCCGCAGATTAGCCGATAGTTTACCGCCAAAGAATGTCGGATTAATCTCACGCAAAATGCGTCAAGCGCCGCTGGCCAATAAACAATATAGCGATAATTTTGCGGCATGTAATTAAATTACTTAGCCAGTTGCAGTCGCAGTGACAGGACGCAGGATGCAGGATGCAGGATGCAGTGGCGCGATATGCGCTGGGCAAATCCTTTCAACAGGCCGGCGAAGTACCGATGCGGCTGAGCCCGGGGACATATTTCCATAAAGCCACCGCAGCCACCGCTGTCAATATGCGGATTAACGCATCAATTACACGGACAAGGACGCAGGGTGGATGGCGGGGGGTTGGGGGGTGGTAAAAAGGACACGGATATATTCCTGGAAATGTCCGCGGGGGCGGCTAGCTGTTGCTTGCAGCGACAAAAATTTCATTTCGCCGGGTAATTTAATTAATTGCAAAATTTCACAATCAGGCCGAGGCTGGCTGGTAAAAACAATTTGAATTCCGCATCAACTCTCCGGCCGTAATCCTCATAATCCCCGATTCTAGTCATTCGCCGTTCGCATTTATGATGTGCACGAAGTGCAAATTCAACCATTGCCCATTTCCCGGACACTGGGCAACTAAATTAATTCGATAATTGACTTCCAGAGCATTGTCATCCCTTCCGGATCTCCAGCTCCGAACTCCGGAGGCCGTGACCATGAACATGGAACCGTCGCCTCCTCGGATGCTGCTCGTTTACTTTTTTATGGGCGGCGCACACACAGAAAACATAAAAACGTCTGTTGCGTGTTGCATATGGAAAACTGCCAAAAGTCGGACCGAAAAAAAAATGCGAGCCCAAGGAAAGAAGTCGCAAAAGGAAATGTTGCAAAGCAGTAAAGGCCAGGCTAATGGCAATGGCATGACAGCCGGAAGAGACGGACAAGAAAACATGTTCGGGCGGCCAAGTCGGAATCAAGGATCAAGGAGCCAGGAGCAGGGAGCAGGGAGCTGGGAGCTGGCAGCCCCGACAGGAAGTTTTTATAGTTGTGCAAGTGCATGTGATTGCTTTATGAGCTCCAGATGAAGTTGCCGGCACGTCCGTGGCCCGGCTGTCATTTAGTTAATTATAAGCAATTAGCAGCGGATGTTGCCAACAGGGAATTAAATATTAAGCGTCTAAATGCATCTATTGCATATTATCGGTCACGAGCGGGACATTCACTAAATGGTGAACCTTTGAAAAGTTGAACTAATGGAATGGGAACGTTTAACACAATGGTAAGAGAAAACCAAATTGTATATTCATGTGTCTTATCGGTATTGTTCAATACACTTATTCACTTTTTTAATTTAGAGATTCATTTTCTATATATTTGGATTTTTTGTTGAATACTATAAAGCTTTATAACTATAGAGTCTTAATTGATTTTAAATATTTCTTTATTATGTATGAAAGCCAATGTTTTCACTTTTAATGTGATACATACCAATTTATTTTAATAATTCCATTATTTAAAGCATACATCAATCATTATTTTCAAATTTGGTTTTGATTCTTAAAATAATTAAGTCGCCATAAAAATATGTTTTTTTAAATAGATTGATTTTAAGTATTTCTTTATGATGTCTTTTATTTTACTTTGATACAATTAATGTTTTCTATATGTTTTTTACTTACATTGTCAATTAAAGATATAAATAAGATATAAATTTAGCTCTAAAGTTGAATTACAATGAATTTAACTTTTGTATGCATTGTTAACTAAAGATCAACATTCTGTGAATTGCGAAAAAGTTAAAGCAAGGAAAACAATCTCTCAGAAATTAGCTCCTCTGGTCGATCTCTCGGTAGAGAAAGCTGCCTGGTAATAAAATAAACCATTTTACTGTTGTTGACTCATTTGAGAATTGTCTGTCTGCCTGCGTATGGGAATCGGGGAAAAGGCAAGTGCAACTAGATTCGGAGGCAACGGCAAAGGTAAAGACAGACGTACTGGTGCACGGAAAGCAAGAGTCAGTGTCGGTGGCATTAATTTGTGCCATTTCCTAGAGGTTTCTCCGTGGGCCTCAAGGCAACGCGTAACCAGATGAAGACGGTGTTGATGATGATGCCAGGATGCTCCGGCAACCAGAAACCCACCAACCAGCTACCAACAGCAGCAGCATTTGTGGCCATGATAAAAGTTGCATGAGCTTGCACTGGGTATTTTATGCTGCTTTCCGCCGCCTGTTGCCTTGCTACTACACTTGTAAAAATTGTTATACTTTTTAAAATCAATTTGATAAATTGATAGGGATCAATTCTAGTATCTCATATAATTTCAACTTAGCTGATAACCCGTTCTATATCTTTTTAAGTGGGTCTGCCCATTGGCTACACACATATCACTCATACGTACTGTTGTCTTTGATCAAATGTTTTATTTCCAATCCGTTGGAAACGAAAACTCTAATTTGGTTTTAGAATAAATAAATTGCACACCAAAATCCATAATATTAATTTTTTAGAGTAGGGTCCTAATAAAATAAAAACACCACTTAAATTGTAAAAGTACAAACGTAAGTATCTAGATTTTCTTTTGAACAAAACATTTTTTTTACTTTTCGAATATTATATTAACAACTAAGTACTATTTTTATATCTGTTCAAGTCTAAGATCAAATATATAATAATACAATATTAAAATTGCAATATTGTGGTATGTCGGATTCAGCAAAATCCTATTTCGTTGTCTGTACCGCTTTTCCAAAAGAGGAGAAAGGTGAAAAAGCTTCGGTCTTGGGCCAGTCAGACGCGTTCCCAAGTTGCAGTCAAATTTTCATTTTTCCACTCACGTATTTCGATTAAATTCTCATTTTGGTCATAATTTTCCAGTTTTTACGTTGGCCTCGGCATTAAATTGCAACTCGGCTCTGTGGGACGGATGTGCGCTCCCATTTTCTCTGTTTTCCGACCGTTGCTTTTCTTCTTTATGCGCGTTGCGTATCGAAGGCATCAAGTTCTCTGTCGGCGAATACATTTAGAAAATTAAAAGTTTTCCGGGGCCCAACGAACTACTAGTATCTGCAATTGTTTGCGCGCTCTCCCTTCCATAAATCAATTTGCACCGCGCAAGTTTTATTATGGCTGCATAAATCCGTTAACAAAGCCCCGGCCACCTGATGCCAGATTTCTATATGTGCTCGGCTAATTTTGCGGCACGCACACTTGGCTTATTCCCAATGAGCATTGAACGATGTCAGATACAGATACAGATACAGATACAGCTACTGAAACAAATAAAGCGGATCCTGCTATATGGCAGCGACAGTTGGCTTAGTCGGACAAAAAAACTTTACGCGCGTAATAAATTGATAAATAGTCCAACGCATATACATGTGTCCCAAAAGGGGTTTGGTTGCGAAGGGGGGTGGCAGTGCATTTCTGTTCAGCTGCCAAGTGTGCAACAGTTTTCAATTGCCCCTCGCTGGCAAGCTGACTGCGAAATGTGGCATACTCCTGGGCTGTGAAAATTGAAATATAGCTTTGGATTGGGACTATAATCGATTTGGCTTAAACTTTGCTGATCCAGGGAATCGAAATCGCTGGAATGTTTCACTAAAGTAAAGGTATTCCATAACAATTGTAGTTGTCGGAGTAGATATTAATACAGTTCTTTAGTAGGTAAATAATTATAAATATAGAAACTTATCTTTTTTAGTTGAGAAGTATTAATGAATTAGCACATTTACAGACACACATTTTATAGATATTGTAAATTACTCATTTCTTAGAATACGTTCGTGGGTAAGACCATTTTCAAAGTCCCATTATAACTTTTTAATTTGCAGAAAATAAAGTCGAAAAATCAAGATACATAAAAATATTTATCTTAGATTTAAAACAGATGTTCTATTATTTCTTCAATTGGGTATATAAAAAAACTATTAATTCATTAAAAATCTTAAATCTTAAATATTAATTATTGAATATTTATCTAAGAGTTATAATGTATATATATTATATACATATTTATAAATTAATTTCACTCTAACCAGCAGAGTATTGCCCTTAAACATGGTCAACACTGCTGTACTGCATTACGTCACCCTGAAAACGGATCTTTGTAATCCCAGCCAAAGACGGCTTTATCAAACAGCGTAGTCAATCAAAAGTAAACATTTCAACCCCAGCTCCTCGAAGGCTCCACAATTTCAGCATAATTCACGCGAACTCATCCGTCTGTTGTTTTTCGATTATGTCGCATTGTCTTGGCTTAAAGTTTTTCGGGCCCAATGGCCTGCTACCCGTAGCAGGCGAACTGGCCAACAGCAACTTGGGCGGGATGTTGCCTGGAAATATTACAGCGATTCCTACTTATGCCTCAATTCGTTTGCCTTGTCACGGCGAGTGCACAAAGGAGGGGCGACATGACAAAGGGGCGAAAAAGGGACACCCGGCGCATCCTTGGACCCGTGCATCACAAAACATGACATGGCACGAGCCATTCCGTTTGTTTTTTCTATTCGCATTTTACAGCTGTCCATCCGTCTATCCGTCCGTCCTCCGTTTGGCCAAACAAATTTTTCTCTGTTTTTCGCTGCAGATCCCTGAGTAAAATATTATGTTACCCGGCGACAAAGAAAGAGGAAACTTTGACTACCTACCATAGCTACCATGGCCATAGCTCTCGGCTAAAACGCAAAATGAAAAGGGCGCTAAAAGCGTATTTAAATGCAATTGCTATAAGCAAATTTTGCCGGTTATGCATATGCAGCAAACCGCACACAAGCAATTCATTAAGCGGCGGCGGTGGCAAATAGAAAATTACTGACAAAACACTGTCCGACAGTTTACGAGCCGCAGACACTGAACGTCGAATGGCAGGAGCATATTTACAACTTTCAAATGCTTCATTTTATTGGTCTCGAAATGAACAAATGGCGCACAGGCCACATAGACGCTGCTCCTCCGCTGGCTGGGTAAAAATTTTGCATAATTTATGTGGATGCCGCGCACACGGAGGACCCCAAGGATTCGAAGGATTCGAAGGAAAACAACGCACGAGCACACGGCCAACTGATTTAAATGCAATTGCACTGAAGTATGTTGTCGAAGGAGTTGGAGGCGGAGGAGGAGGATGCTATAGAGACATCTGCACGTGCAACCGGAAACATCCGGAGACCAGGCCGGGCAATTTCTTTTCATTTGCCAAGGTGTTGAGTTGCACCGACACCGACGTGGCCAAAAGCCAGAAGCCAGCAGCTAAACCCGCTTTGCGGCAATGTCTTGGTCACAAGTGTCGTCTATTTGTCGCCGGGCGGGGCACTCCGGCGGATCCTGGACATCCTGAGCATCCTGGGCAGGCCAAGACAAACAACCGACAAATTTAGTGTATTTTGTGCATTCTTAAAATTGTCCAAATTTATGTGACACGCTGCGCCAATTGATCAGATTAAATAAACATGAGGGCAAACGAATCGAATTTGGCTGTGCGGCCAAAGACAATGCATGTGACAGTCTGTATTCAAATGGCGCATCGACAGACTTGGGAATACAGTGGCTGCTGGATAAGTAAGACTGGTGGGGGCAAGCGGGAGAGCAACATGAGATATAGGGAATCATTTAATATTCCTTTTTCGTTTGAAAAGAAAAGGGATTTTATTGTAAAATTATTTTTTAATTTATGATTATTTTACTCTTTAGTGTTTTTATATACTTGATATTCTTAAGCACCAACTGTTTGGTCTTATGATCATATTAAGTTAATTATTTTATAATTCGTATCATACAAATTATGATATATTATAATTATAAACAATAATTAAAAGATTAAAAGCAGTTTGTGTTGAAGGATATAATGTGTGATTGTGGGTGATACTGCATAAGAAGTATATGTACCTTTACAAATTCAGTAAATGTCAAATAAAGTATCTACAAATAACCGTAGCTTTAGGCATTTCAATAAAATATAAGGTTAATATTATGGTATTAAAAATGGGATATGGGAAAATCAAAATAGGGCACCTTGGGCAAGTCAAACGCAAAGTGTGTTATTATTAAAACAATTAAGGCAATGGAAAAAACTGTGTATACTATATTTATTAGTGATAAGGAACTTTTAAAGTTACGTCGCATTAAGTACAACTAATCTTTATTCTATTACAATTTATTAATTTCCTTTAGCCAATATTTACTTCAATTCCAAGCCACAGTAAGAAGTAACACGAGACTTCTAGGAATAAGTTCTCATGTCGAATGGCATTCGGAATGCAATATACTTAAGATGCTATTTTGTGGCTTAGAAAGTCCGACAGTTATTTTCCAGTTGATGAAACTAAGCACGTGCTGTCAAAAAGACACATGCCGTATTTATTCTTGATATATTTTAATAGCCATTTCACATAAAGCAACCTTAATGCATCGTTTGCAAGTAGTAAACTTGTTATTACAGCTTTTCCAAATAAACGATCACATATTCCAACAACTTCTAGACTATAAGATTATGTAGATGTTTAATGGTCGGTTATTGCTGTAGATCAGTGCGGCAATCTTTTCAGAAATTCCCGATCGCACTCCCATGTCAGTTCGGATTGTGACGTTTGGGAAATTCTGAGCGATCGCTGTAAACAAGCTTTGCCTGATGCTAATTTGATGGTTTTTGTTTTTCCATCTATAAATACTGGAACCTGACTGATGGCAGTCAGTTGAAGCTGAGTTTCACAACTGAACACAATGAAATCGTTTGGACTAATCGCTCTCACTGTTTGCGGCGTTCTTTGCGTTGGTAAGCCCTATTAAATTAATATATGTAATAATTAAAGTATAATCGATTATAATCCTTGCAGCTGCTGAGGCACAACAGACCTATGACGGTCGCAATGGTCCACATGTCTTTGGATCCCCGGGCAATCAGGTCTACATTAGGGGGCAAAATGAAGGCGCCTATTCAGTGCCTGGAGTGGGTGGCCAGTTCCAGAACTCTCCTCAAAAGGGAGAGCATGTCTATACCGATGACCTGGGGAACACTTTTGTGAACCGAAAGAACGCCGGTGGTCCAGGTACAGTAAAGGACTTAAACAAGACCTGGACGATTATATTTAATTTAATAACATTTGTACAATTTTAGCTTCCCACACCGTCAGTGGTCCGAGCTTTTCCGCCCAGAACTTGGGTCCCGCCCGCCAGGATGCTCCTTATAGAGCTGGGGGAAACGCACAACGTGGCCGTCGCAGTCCGCAATTTCACGTAGAGCGCCCCGATCGCACTGTTGATTTTGGAAACGGCGGATTCAACATTCAACGAGGCCGTCGCAGTCCGCAGCTTGTGGTGGCCCGTCCAGATCGCACCGTCGTCGTCGGTAACGGTGGATTTTACGTTCAACGCAGTCGCCGCAGTCCACAGTTCCATGTTGAGCGTCCAGATCGCACTGTAGACTTTGGAAATGGCGGCTTCTCCGTTCAACGATTCCGTCGCGGAATCAACGATGCCCGAGTCCAAGGTGAAAACTTCGTGGCTCGTGGGAATCAGGCTGGTGTATGGGATAGCAACGTTTCCGTTTGGAAGCGTCCGGATGGACGTACTGTTACCCTTGACAACAATGGAAATGCCATCGTTTCGGGACGGCGCGGGACCCAGCATGTAAGTACCCTCGTTCACCCAGCCAGTGTCCCCATCTAATGTATTTATTTTTGCAGTACTCCTAAAATGGTTCCAAATAAATAACACCTTAGACTTTGTAATATAAACAATTCGAGACTATGTATATAGGTACTTAAATCACATGATATCTGAATACATAAAAAATATCCCAAAAACTATATATTCTAGGCGAACATTATTTTGGTTTGGATTGCACTTGTGACTGCAAGATTGGTTAAGCTAGGAGTAGAATAAAATATATATATCTATATAAATCAGGAGAAGTTTTCACAAACAGTGAATGGGTTACTTATATACCTATAGAAAACATGAGTGACCAGAGCAATGGGTGAGATTTCTCAGCCGCAACGAATACAAAGCTCGTTCAATGGGCAACAGGTCGAGGGCAATGTTTGTCATTTGAAACTGGTCCAGCTGCAGGTCATAGGCCTCCAAATAGTTCTGAAATACAAACAATAAGATATAGATGTTCTATGTGATTTTGAAAGATACAACTCTACCTCATTATCGCGAAACTCGCAGTAGACGCGATCCTCCCGGTGGCGAATATTTCTCAGGCAGGCGTAGGTATTGTTCCACGAATCCTGGCAATGGCAATCCACTTCCGGAGTGCACTGTGACAACCGATCTTGCTCCGCCCAAGGACATTCGGGATTGTAGGTGTTCACGTTACCCTCACCCCAGTATTCGATTAACAGAGATCGTTCGAAAAAGGGAATCCTCCGCTCTTTGCTTAATAAAATCTCGTGAAACGATTGTCCATCCATGTAGGCTGGTGTGCTGACGTTGGCCCAGGCCAATATGGTGGGCGCCAAGTCCACCAAGCTGACGGCGGTGTCTACATGGCTCTCAGGTGCGATTCCAGGTCCGCGGATTAGCAGCGGTATGCCAATATCCGTTTCGTATGGTTGTCGCTTGTCGAACGGCTGTGCGAACTGACCGACGTGGTAGCCATTGTCTGAGGTGTAAACGATGTAGGTGTTGTCCAGGGATTGCGTCTCATTTAGCACGCCCACCAAAGTGGCCACCAGCTCGTCCACGGCCAGCAGCGATTCCCAGCGCTTCTGGAAGTACTTGTCTATGGTGTCGATCGTCTCATTAGACAGACTGCGGGATGTTCGAACTAGCCAGTGCTTATCTGTAAATAGTTTTGTTACAGTACTATAAAGATGAGGCTATAATATCAATCTTACCCTCTTTAACCTGATTAAAGCTGGGTGTTCGCAAGGCTTTTATATGGGAGAACACGCCCTCGTGTCGCGGGGCTGGAGTAAAGGGTTCATGGGCTGCCGGCGGAGCCACCATGGCAAAGAAGGGCTGTGCATCACCCGATTCTGGAGATTGGGTGGCATTTCTCAGAAAGTCCGCGGCACGATCCCTTAGCAGATCGGTCAGGTAGGTTGACTCGTAGTGCACATTGCCGGAATTCTCGCGCAATGTGTAATTGTAGTAACGGGAGTTTCCATGGAGGCCGTAGAACTCGTTCCATCCTTTGGGCACTTCGCCGGCGCCATAATACTGATTCAAGTACTTCCCGCCGAAGAAGGTGTTGTATCCATTCTGCTGCAGTATGTTAGGCAAAGCCCGTGGCTCCAGGGCTCTCCGCCAGTGCGGTCCGTAGCAGCCACCACTCACGGAATTGTTCCGGGTGCCATGGTTGTGCGCATACATCCCTGTGAGCAGACTCGTCCGAGCCGGACAGCAAATGGGCGTGGGCGTGAAGGCGTTGTGGAACAGGGCGCCTCCGAAGCCCAGCAGAGCGATCGTTTGCTCCATGGGAAACATTCCGCGCAGCTCCACATCCTGATCGTCGGACAGGATCAGCAGGATATTGGGTAATCTATCAGCGGCGGCATTGCCCAGGCACGCAAGGATTAATGCGATTAGGAGAGTTAAGATGATCTGCAGGAATTGACGGATGAAAAGATTGCTTCGACATATCTGTATTACTCACCATGGAGCAGAGCCGAAAATGTTCTTGTTTACTTTAATTTATGCGATAACAAAACCCGGCTTAAGATTTTAGGGCTGGAGTGCTTGAGCAAGATCTTTTAGTGTTGACAATTGCTCGGCGGCTATAATTAATGCCCCTACCAGTGTTGTCGTTTTAGCCTGTTTACAGACAAATCTAAATCTAAATGTATGTCAAATACACTTAAACCGGTAATTTGTAATTTCTTTGTTCTTAAAAAGGTTTACTTTTAGAATTTACAGTCCAATTTTAAAATAAATTGTACGTTTTCTTGAATTTTTAATATTTTAATTATCAAACTGAACTAAAAGTAATCTTTTTCAATTTTATATGACATGCAAATCACTTTTTTCTTTTCAATTACTCATCACAATAAACTAAAAAATTAGCAAAACAATGCTCTACAGATTTTTATGAAAATAAGGCGCGACATTTTCAAAATCAAAAGAAGAATCTCTAAGAGTTCCCAGATATGTAAAATTGAATGCGGTTGAATTGCCAGACTGCTTCAACTCTGTAACATGCATCAATAAAATTGCATATGCGCACAATGTGCTGTTAACCGCACGCTTACTGTTAATAGGCGCCAATTTTCAAATTGTATGTTATTTTCCAAAGATTTATTTTATTTCCAACCAGCAATGAAAAAGCCATTAATACCGTACGAGAAATATGATTTATTTCCTATGAATATCAATGGTTCAGTAACCGAAAAATACAGAACCTTTGCCGACATAAATATGTATTTGAAATTCACAATAATGTAATGCATATGTAGGTACAAATGTTTACAGTTTACTTAGAGATAGACTTTTAAAAAAAGAATGCAAGTCTGAATCCGTATCACAAAGCTGCGCCAAGGACAAGGACAGATACGAAAGACCGAACTCTAGCCTCTTAAATATGTTTTTTTGTTCTCGATCTTACAAAATAAATAACAGCAAAGATAGATAAACGTATATGCGCAATATTCAATGTTGTGAGGCTTCTACGAAATGTTTTCCGATTACTGCAAGTGTAAGACACGTAGAGAATAAATGTGGTGTGTGTTTTTGGCCTACCAGAAATGTGCTCTTATCTGGTGAATTCTAAATACCAATTCAAATCTAAATGTTGACGTAGTTCCTTGCGGTTTCCTATATACATGTGCACCGTGAGATCCGTACTCCCAGCATTTCCGGTTTAGTTTCCCTCGGGCTTTGGCAGATTCGTATCATAAGCACGTATAATGATAGACTGCGGCACAGCTCCGCCCTCCTCCTGGGAAAATGCATAGCCATCTGGGGAGGTAGACAAGGTCGGTTACAATCTGGTAGACAGAAATTATATCACAAGATGTTGTGTATGGAGTCTGTAATGTGTGAGTGTGGTCCCAGTGTCTCATGGTTCTCCTTCTGAAGGAGCCCCTAAGGGGGAGATGCCCCGATACCCGGGATGCGGACCTACTGCTCGAGGAGTCCTAACACTAATTGCTATGTTCCTGGAACTGAGTGGTAGTGGTACTCACGCGATAGTTCTAGCTCCGTTTCGACTCTCGTGTTGGCACGACGGGTAAAGACATTACGTAGCAGCCGGGCCGTTTCCGTGAATCTGTTGGGTTAATTTTTGAGCGGGTCGGTTATGATTTAGTAAAGGGTTTCAATTTCGTGGGGGGAGAGCTTATTATGTTAATTCGGGATGGGTTTCCATTTTGAATTGTTAGCACTTTACACAGTTCTTGCAATTGCGGTTGCAAGATCAATCCGAATTCTACGGAATGGAGATTTTCTGGGGGCTTTTTGCGAAGGAGCATACATATAATCAAATCAGGATGAGAAACGAGGTGTTTACCAAATCGAAGGGGCATGCAAAATACGTAATAAATGGAATAGAGCCTACATACTTTAAAGTTGGCAAATAAAATAAATACGATACGATTCTGGAGATAAAAATTACAACGAATCTTTGACACTACATAAAACAAAAGGTCCTTACAATAAAGTGTTATACAAGTTTCAGGTCCTATCTATTCATATATCACCCTCCTGAGAAGGGGAACCCAGTAAAGACCCCTGTGACTGGGTGATGTGACATAGTGGGTGTGTGGATGTATCGTGTTGTAGGTGTAGATATGAATTTTCAGCTTTATCTACGATTTACTTACACCGAATTATCGATCCCAAGGCATACATGGTACTGCGCACACAGACATTAGCGCAGAAAACGTTCAGAGAAATTTCAAATAAACATTTTTCAAAATTTTGCTGTTGACTCTTTGACTTTTATTAAATTATATATAGTGATTAGTTATTGTTAGGTGTGTTTGGGTTCTGCGAGTAGGTGTTGGGTGTGATTGGTTAAGTCGCTTTGTTGGGTGTTGAGTAATACAAAATAAAACATAAGTACATACAACATAAGTGCAGAGCGGATCGGATCGGATCATATCGGATCGGATTAAATCAATCAGCAGCCATAGAGTTAGTATATATATCATTGGCCGAATTAAGTAGCATGCAAGCTGGGGTGGACGGTGCGGGATACATATATTCAAAACTGATACATACATATCATCTGGGTACCATCACATTCCAATAACGTTGGGATGAGTATGTATATCGGTTGGTTAATCATAGATTGTTTAGTAGGATCGAACGGAACATTCGCGACTGGGTTCGTTAACGTTTTTACAACCTGACAAGTTTCTTAAAAGTGTATGTTATACATCCAGCTAACACATAGGTACGATTAAAAATACATAAAGTAACTCAGCTTGTTGGGAATGACGGAAAACTCAGCTCACAAAAGAACATTCCCTGATTATTGGCCTATCCTACGTGCCTAACCTCCTGGCTACTCCTTAGACACTATCACAGTTGGCAAATAGTTTGTTAGCACATACAGTATGCGATGTATAAAGCCCTAGCATATACACATGGATATATGATATGAACTCGATAGTTCTTAGTAGGTACTCGATGCGAAAACGGGAAATAGTCCCACTCGGAATGCGTATTACGATACTATACAATGCACACTTATCAGATACAGGTTAACACTAGTAAAATAATTCGATTTGCTTTGCCTTCGATGTGGAGCGTAGCCTTCACATGTGCAGAGTGGCCGTCGTGGGGGAAGTGGCGGTGGTCCTGGTACCCCGGGTCTCTGCAAAGGTCAGTCCACCCCCCGCCACTTCTGCCGCTGCCGGTTCCGCTGCTGCTGCTCCGTGTCCACCTCCAGCTCCAGGTTCTCCACCCGCAGGTTCGACTCCACACTGGACCTTGGCTCCGGATTGGTGCGCTGGTCATGAGAGAGCAGGGCGTGGCTGGATCTTATCAACTTGCCGAGGGCGTATCCGAAACCAGAGTCACTAATGTGTTGCATGGGTGCAGGGATTTTGAATGGGTTTATGGATCGATTGAATGCATGGATTGGGATTCAAGGGACAACCATCGCCGTCAGGGATTGATGGGGGATAGAGGAAGACAGAGAGATTACATTTTAGGGAATTTCAATTCATTAGATACTTGCTCATGGTGATGCGGTCGAACATTGAGTAAATCTGATTCTGATTGATGCTGGCTGAATTGTCTTAACTCAATAAAATTGTGTTTGTTTCTTTAAATGGACTGATTTTATTCAATGACAATAGCTAGGCGAGATGACCTCAACACAGCCAATTGTAGCTTCAATTTAAATTTTAATTGCATTCAAAATTGCTCAATAAAGTCTACAAAATGCGTATCAAACTAGATAATTACATAACATTTATGTCTAAAACTGGGTATATTTTATTGGCTAGTTGTGCTATGTTTAAATATGTATTTAGAGATGTTACATATGAATTAACACAGTGAGGGATTAACAAATGACGAGAAGAGAAAGTATTAAACAACTTATCTTACTCTAATCTCTAAAACTATTTACACATTTATCAGCTAAGACTATGTCAGTTTTCCTTGTCTGTTTTTTTTCTTTTAAACCGTTTAATTTGTATTCCGTTTCCTTATTTACACATATCCTGGGTTAACATTTCGTGTTTGTTTTTCTTTGTGTGTTCACTTTTAGGTATATTTGGAGCAATTTTCGTTGGCCAATGTTCAAGATGAGTCTTTCGTTTTACGTAATAAGCACTAACATACATCGAATGTCGAACAAACACAATTCGAGGAGGTGGCAGTGCGATAACGGAATGAATTGGATTAAGTTAATGCATATATGGCCCAAACAAACGCTAAATAATAACTAAGGTAGGATTCCATATTGGTGCAACGACTACAAGAAGCAGGATACTGAGTGCAGGCACATATGTTCAATCAGCCTTGATTCGGGTTGGTAGGATAGGGGTTGTAGAAATATCAACGTCTTAGGGGTCTAGTTAATATTCAGCAAATGCGCAACAATTCAAATTGAAAGTATAGTTTGGTTTTGTTTTTGGACAAACAAAAACTAAATACATATGGAGGTATGTAAGGGACCCTCCGGCCCGGAGGAAAAGCGTGACTACTGGGGTCTGGAAGGCGATTGCTTCGATACTTACGAAGATCGCGGCTCGTTCATCACTTCGGAGATATCGCTGCGTCGGATCTCCGTTTCGCGAACGGCCTCCGTGAGCGTCTTAAACACGGTGTTATGTACCCTGAAACACAAACCAAAGATTCAACTTGAGTTTAATGGTTTAAATCTCATCTACTCACAGTTTGCAGATAACATCTACCAGCAGCGTGGTGATGGGCACCAGCAACAGGCCGAAATAGAAAACTGGCGTCGACAGCAGCTGGATGTCCATGCCGCGGAAGTTGCTGGCGAACTTAAACGTTGGCCACACATGGCTGTAGATCAACAGGAATCCGAACCACAGGACTATGGAGCCCCAAATGGCCAGGTGCGTCAGCCAGGTCCAAGAATTCGTGATGAGTCCGGCCTTCAGGCAAACCGTTACGATCACATACTGCAGGTACAGAAAGATATTTATATTTAATTATATAGAGAGTAAAGATGTTGAAGACCCTTACCGTATACACCAGGTTGCCCATCAACAGATAGTCACTGGTCTTGCCATCGCCCCAGATCACCTCGCTCGAGTAGGCGGCCAGAGGCAGCCAGAAGAGAAACACCGAGTGCAGCAGCGCATTGAATATCCAAATCCAGAACACCTTCACGTTGAATAGCTTCGCATTTTGCGAGGTTTTGTAGAGCATCGGATATCGAAGCATCGTCTCCGCCGTACAGAACTTCTCGAACAGTCCCATTGCAAACGGCGGCATGGCCGTGAAGAGCACGTTATAAAGACCGATGGTCCAGCGCTCAAAGAGGATCTGACCCGACCACCCGGAGTAGTGGGCGAACCACAGTTCAATGACGTACAGGCACACGTTCTTATAGAAGCTGTACAGGATCAGCTTAGAGATCCTCGCGTAGTTCCAAGCCCCATGAACCAGAAGCAATCGCTGTAGATAGCGAAACTGGGCGATAGAGTAATCCGAGGCGCAAGCCGCCTGTAGACCTTCCACTCCAGATATTCCGATGCCCACGTTCGCCTTCTGGATCATGGCCACGTCGTTGGCTCCATCACCGATGGCCAGGGTCACTGCGTTCGTGCTCTGGGTGACCATCTCGACCACCTCGGCCTTTTGCATGGGCGACACTCGACAGCAAATGACCACCCGGCATAGGAGACACAAGTCCTGGAAATCGTTGCGCAGGTCGCAGCTCAAGGCGTATTTTAGGGTGGTGCCATCGATGACCAGTGCCACATTTGCGTCCTTGGCCGACGAGCTCTTGAACTCTCCATAATGACGATGAATGACTTCACGGGTGGCCTGGGGAATAATGTTCATGTTTGAATAGGTCTTTCAAAGGAATTTTATGAAAATAAAATGTTTAAAAACCACTCACATCAAGGCTCTCCTCGTTGAGGATAATGATGTCCATGGAGTGGCTGATCAGCCGGCAGGAGTAGCCAATGTTGATGGCCGTCTCCTGCTTGTCGCCGGTGAGCACCCAAATATAGATGCCAGCGTCCAGCAGGGCAGCAATCGTTTCCGGCACACCATCCTGCAACCGATCCTCGATTGCCGTGGCACCCAATAGACGGAGATTATTCTCAATCAGGTTGGCCGCATCCTCCAGCTTGCTCTCCCGATTCTGCATCGCCACCGAGGCCTTGTGGAAGGTCTGGCGCCACTCCTGGTACACATCCGGCCGTATATCAGCCACCGCCAGGCATAGGGTCCTCAAACCGTCCGAGGCAAACTCCTCTAAATGCCGCAACGTCTGGTCTCGGAAAGCTTGACCCTGGGGAGCCAGCCGCTCGTAGATCACTGTATCCGCTCCCTTGCAAAATAGCTTGATCTTGTTGTCCGGCGTCCGTACAATCAGCGACATGCGCTTCCGCGTGGAGGTGAATTCCAGGACATTCAGCACCTCGTACCGCTTCCGCTCGCCCAGAGCATTGATCTCCACGTACTCCGGTGTGCGCGTATCGAAAATGTAGCCAAATCTCTGGGCACCCTCCACCAGCGCCCGCTCATCCGGACTGGCGGCGTGGTAGATTATGGTGCCGTCCTCCTTGCGCTCGGGTATAACCGTATGGCACACGGACAGCAGCACCAGAAACTCCTCGATCACTGCGGCCGTTTGATGGCGACCCAGGATATTCTGCACCAGCTGCGATTCCTCCGGCGTGCGCTCGGTTTTGTAGACATAACCGGCGATGGAGCACTTCTTGAACTCCATCACGTTCTGCGTGAGTGTGCCCGTCTTGTCCGAGAATATGTACTTGACCATGCCCAGCTCCTCGTTCAGATTAGATGTGCGGGCCATGGCCGGCGTGTTGGACTGCTCGTGGTACATCTCGATGTCGTAGTTGATGAAGATGGCCTGGAGGAATCGCACCAGCTCAAGAGTCACTTGCAGCGAGATAGGGATAAGGTTGTTGTACAGGATGAAGAAGGTAAGCAGATTGTAGCCGAGGCTCCTGGTCTTGAAGTCGCTCAGCGCCAGGTACCAGTCCGTTTCCCAATGTTCCCGCGTCCAGAACAGGTTGCACAGACCGCTGGTGATGCACAGCGAGATGAGGATCATGAACAGCAAGAGGATCTGGGTGTTGGTCAGCTTGTCTACGGTGGAGCGCTTTAATGGTGCCGAGGTAGAGTTCTTCATCAGCTTCGTCTCCTGGCCGGAGTAGACCACAATTCCGAACACCCAAGCCGTGTTTCTTAGAATGGCACCGCGTTGGAGCACCTGATCATTGCCCAAAGCAGCAGGTCTGCAACAAGAAAAGAAAATATTGTGAGTTTTATAGAGAAAATACATATTTAAGATTTTTAAAAAACAGATGCATTCAAGATTACGGAATTCTTAAAGTAATTTACACGAGTAATATAATAAATATACATATTTTAAATAAGAGAGATAAAAACATTTATACAATAAATTATAGTATAAAATCGCACTTGTTTTTGAAATATTCTCATAAACATTACATGAATAAAAGATAAAATCTTACATGGTACAACGTTCCTAAAATAGGTTGTGAAATGTGTATCTAGTTTTGTTTACATCTTTGAAAATTAGTTTGTTTTGTTTTTGTGTTTCTAGAACTATTCCAATAGCCGCTATTTATACATGAATTACTCACTGCTTTCCGGTCTCCTTTAAAACCCCATTAAACTCGTATAAATGCCGGTTGGGCAGCTCGCAGTCGATCCTGCCCTCCAGTCGCTGCAGGTCCTTCGTCTCTAGCAGTCCAGCAGTGGCTGGCAGTCCCTGCCGGATCTTCAGATTCGTCTCACCATCCAGATTGGCCGTCTCTATGAAGCACATGGCTTGCGGCTCACTGTGGGCGAAACGGAGGTGAATTGTCTGCTAATTGGGGTTAACTTTGCGAACTCACCTGGACGACAGGAGAATCAGATCGGCGGGGAAGAAGGTGTTGATCCCCACTTTTATGATATCGCCCACTGTCAGCTCGGACCAACGCACTGTGTTCCAGGAGCCACTATCCAGGCGTTCGATCAATCGATGATTGATCTCATTATCTGCTCGATGTCGTTTCTGATCAGCAATTAACATTAATATATGCATTAGAAGGGTGGGATTACTCCAAGCTTAAGCACTTACAATATCCTCGACTATCTCCTTAATGGCGCTCACCGACAGGATAAACATCAGCGGCACCAAGGTGGTGTATCGACCCGTCGGCGATACATCCGGGATTTGTTGCAGTAAGGCAATTAGCAGGAAAAAGCAGTTCGAATAACGCCGAAACTGCTCGAACAGGAACGCGGGCAAAAAGCTGATAAAACTGCAAGCGTGCGAGAAAAATTGTCGGTTAGTTTGGGCTTAATCCACCAATTTAGGTCGTGATAATTGATAAGTGACAAACGGTGGGCGCTCACTCACCTATATTTCGCCGTCGTTATGCGATTATTACAGTATTTAGAGGGCTGTGGCCCATTAATAATTATGACACGCCTCTCCCCATCATCTGCATCGTAGCCGGCGGACGAGGTGAAGTCCTCATCATCTGGAAGTATTCATTAAAAGGGCGGTTAATGGGTGAAATAATGGGAGTAAGCGGAGCACTACATGTCATTTGGTACTGTGGCCAGCGATGCTTCAATCAACTGCTTATTTTTTGGTGATTAGTTATCGCTTATTATCTGTTGAAAGCTACAATTAATGATAACGATCGTTACATGTTTCATAACTCAATTCGACGATTATCTGTTAAATACTAAAATAAGTGCTTTGAATGTATGTATATATGTATTTATCAGCCGTAACGAAATCTAGAAGGTGATTAATGTCTATTACCTAAATGTAGCTCGAATCATAAACCAAAACAATTCAAATATTATACCTCAACATATATTTAACCAAATAATTAAAAAGCCACAACATAAAATACTTGGAACCAATATCCTTTTTTAAAAATCCTTTCAAACACAAAACAAGTACAGAAACGTGTTACACTTGGCCACTTTATTCGATTTCGTGTTCCACGCTCATAAACTGGGGTGTCCATCGCCACTCCCATTCGGCCTGATAGAAATTGACGGCGATGGGGTTGCCCAAGGCGTACTTCCGCGCAAATCGGTGGCAATTGAACTTGGTGCGACGCGTATTGTCGCCTTCGGGAATGAGGATCTCGTCGAAGTCCAGCTCCAGATACTGCTTGTAGGCCAGGAAGACGATTCGATGGATGCTTTTACCCTCCATGGACCGTCGGTTGTGGTAAGCCGCGAGCGTCTGGCCCAAGGCCACATCGCAGCCCGGAATGTTGCCCACCAGCCAGATGAGCCACTCGCTGTTCGGTGGCACGTCCAGGTCGATCATCATCAGCGTATAGAACCGCTCCAGGTCGGCCTTGAACCGGATGATTGGCTGGTTGACCACCTCGGTAATAACCACAGTTATGCCCGGAGTGATCACAATGTCGCAGGGATATAGCACAGTGATCACCTCCGTGGGTTTGCAGACCAACAGCTTGGGTATGATGTGGTGCTTCTTGAGTTCTGCAACCAGTTTCTTAACTGGACTAACAATCGGGCAGCTCACCAGCATAGTGGACGGACTTTTAAAATTTTGATGAAATAAAAGAGCTAGGCTAGAACACAGCCTGCTTTAATAAAACTAAAGCATTGTGCTAATATCATGAGCGTTATTTTATTAAGATGTTATATTTTATGATGTTGATTAAGAACAAACTTCCAATCAAAACAGATCATTGAAAACAATTTAAAATGCACTAGAAACAACAAATTTTCTGATGTCGCCCCATATAAACCCTTTTTCCTATCACAGTATAATTCTTGATTGGTTTTTCCTTTCTCTATTTAATTTTGTGGGACGTTGGTGTATAAAAAATTGTCCAGATTTGACACTTACGACTCCAACGAATACGCAACGCCTTGTAGACATTTCTCAAGTCCATGTTGACCCGGCGAAAAAGGGCGGGACACCGGAAGCGTCCTGATCGATTCCCAGACGGTGCCGCTACCACCGACTCCACCGTCTCCTCTTCCGCTTCCGCTTCCTCTTCCTCGGGCCCTGGCAGCTCGTCGGATCCAGAATCGCAATCGCCCACGGGCACGAAGGCAATGCTCTCGCCGGCGGTCTCCTCCTGACTCCGCTTGGGAAACCCCAGGATGGAGGACAGCTCCAGGTCACTGGCTCAGCAAGAATAACAAGCCACAAGTGGGCGTGACAGTCGAGAGACGTATAAGAGTAGTTCCGTGGGATGGCGCCTGCGCTCCCTTTTTTCAATCACTGCGTATAAGAAAACACATTTTCCATCCCGTATACGGGGGATTCTGTGGCATGCACATTTGCATATACACACAGCCAGGAAAGTGATTTCTTTGGATAACTATGTGGCCTTTTAATTAAAGTGGTTCTTTAGTTTTTCTTTTCTAGCATCTTGGGCGTATAACCTTTACGCATCCATCACCTGGCAACGTGTCTGGACTAATCTTCCCCTTCAGGTATCGATTTGTCGCAATTATGTTGACTAAGCACGTGATGTACTGGCTTACTGATTAATCGAATTCGATTTCAACAATTGGATGTATTTAGTAATTGCTTTGGTGACACTGATTGACAAGCGATTACTCGCAGTTCCTTCAAAGGTAGATAAATATTTTTCCACATGAGAACACTGTTTTACAACGGCGAACTTTTCACTACGTCCGCTCTCCTGAGCTCCGATACTACGACTGAAATAAAATTTCAACGTGCTCGAAGACCCAGAAAGGACAATGGGATGGGTTAGGTGGGGTTACCCCCTTTTTACGCTCAGGTTGGGAACCCCTTAAGTTCACCCCTCGTCCCCCAAAACTACGTAGTGCATTCTTATAAGAGCTTATAAAGCTTACGAATCATCAGCAAACGCAAAACATTGCGTACCACCCAGGGAGTTTCGGAACGCAGGGGTTTTGTGAATGCAGGAGCAAAAGCGAAAGCGAATGAATTATACTAGCAAAACAAAGAGCGATAAACAAGGGGGAGGAGAACGAGAGAGAACGCGTCTGCGCACTGGAAAAAACCCTTTACAATAAGGGAAATCATAATTGTATAAAAGACTCGACCAAAGACCTACCCCTGACAACCATAATGTCACAATTATCAGTAGAAATTTCTTTAAAAACCGAGATTAGCAACTTGAAAAACAAAATTAAAAAAAACAAATGACCAAAAAAAAGATTTTTTCCGGAAAAATGTCATGACTAACAAAGCGATTTTGTCAACCGGAATTTGGAAGTTATGTTTTTTGCAGTTCTAAAAGCAGTTTTGCAAGATAAACTATTTTCTTGACTCTGGTATTGACGTAGTTCTCAATTTAAGAAACGCGATATTTTAATTAGATTGTTTAAACAGATCTTTAAGTATAGTTTATGACTTGTGATAGGATTTTTGGAATAAGTGTTTGGGGTTTGTTGATCAAGTCTCAGGACTTACAAAAGTAGGATCAAGTTAGAAAGTTGAATTGAAAGAATGTTTTGTATAAGTTGTTGTAATATTGTAGTAGAAAATATAAGAACCTTTTCGTTTTTTCCTTCCTAGGCCAGATTTTTTAAGGAGATTTTTCATGGATATCCTACTGCTCGCCGTTGATGGTTCATTCAGCCTTCGATGAGGATTGCTGCCGTCGGTCTCTGTGACACCACTTCCGCTCCTGGATGGTGACGCCTGATCGGTGTCCTCCGACCGTGCTCCAGGCGGAAGTCTGTCCTCTCCTCCGGACGGAGCGACCTCTGGACCGGTGGTAGCTGTCCGTCGAAGGACTTGGCTCCTCATTCGCCGAACACCGCCGCCAATCCAAGCCTGTAAGCTTGGCCACAAACTCCGGTCCTCGAAGGTGGCTTGGGTGCCGGTCGGATTTTCCACGGACTGACTGTGTCCATTGCGCCCATTTTGGGCGGGGTTGCGATTTCTGCCCGCTCCGTTGTGTCCGCCACTCTCGTTTTTGCCGGAGTCCGCCATTCTTACATGGCTCCGCGACTCGCATGAATCACACTGCAATTACTTCTTCACACTTTCCACTCACTTTCCAGATCTTATCTGCTGCGCCGCGACACGTTTTAATTAGAGACACGTTTTTTAGAGTTCAATCGAAGGACCGCTGAGACTTCTCGCAAGCGCGAAATTCTTTTGCACTTTGGATTTTACGTTCAACTGTCATTTTAATTAATTATTTGCTTGATTTTCAATAGCTTGCTGTGTATACAATGCACATGGAAACAACTGAACACATTTTTTTTAAAGCAATTTTGAAGGGTGAAACCCCGCATATTTACATTTATTTAAACTTGCACGCCAGATTTGGCAGTTACTCAACTTCATTACGCGCAAGCATCTTTTAGTCACTTATATTGCTTTAAGGAAAAATCTTGCTCATTAAATCGTTTAATCATATAATCTACTGACGTGTATGTACATCAAAAAACTCGATCTTTATATTGAAACAGCTGCAGTTATTAACAATGATTCAACAATTTTAACATGGCCCTATATGTGATTCATAAGTCTGATTAAAAGGCTCCGTTGAAATTGTTCTCATTATTAACTAGATATAAATATCAGCGAAGGTTTTTAAAGAAAATCAATACTGAAAAATATAATCAAAAGTGCTCCTAATACCTGATTGTTTGATGCTTTTCGTAAGTGTGTAATTTATATTTTAAATTTTATTTATATTTATTCGAAAAAAAGAAAAAATTCACATGTTTACCCAACTTTTAAAAGTAAAATATTAAAATAAATCAAAAAAATTATAAATCCCATGTGGGCAAACATTTTTTTGATATAACATTTTTTTAAGGGGTGGACAACCAAATTTTTCGGCAGAATAAGTTTTGTTTGGTCAACATCTTATTTTTATATAAATTCTAATCAAATCTATACGTACATAGCGCGGATTTTATGAAAGCGAAAAGAAACCACATGGCTCATTATAACGTCAAACCACAATCGAATTGACCCTGATAACAAGAGAAAATTTATTATTTTTAAGAAGTGAAGAAACGATTTGTTTTTATTTCTAACTTTTTAAGAGGTTGGCAAACATGGACATTTTTTATTTCTTCGAAACAACGACTTTGAAGAAGTGGGCAAACGATTTTTTCTTGAGTAAAATTGAACAAAGTTAACTTTTATGTTTTTGCAAATTTTGAGGATTTCATAATTTTTAAACTATAAATGGACAACAAAAACTACTTTGAGGGCAAACGATTTCAGTCGACAATCTATCACCCTAAAGACTTAGTTTATCTGCAGCTATTTTTTTTCACTGCCCGATATTGATTAACTGTCTACTTCAACCGGTAATTTAATTGTAATTAGGTGCAGATTGGAACTAAACAACCAATCAATAATTCAAAATGCAGCTAAAAAATGGCATTAAGAAATCTGATATCCCTAAATCTATTTACATAGCCGCTTTAAGTCAGTGTCTGTGCAATTTACTTTGGATTAATTAACCCTAACAACCGACTAGCTCCCCCAGGAACCTGGCCTCATGCCGGTAGGTAAACACGACAGGTAGACAGCCATAACAAAAATTAATATACGATTAGGTGCGGGGGTGGGCAGGGTAGTCCAGCGAACATCGACCTCGGAAATCACAAGCTAACGAAGCGCCATTTGGGCTGTCTGCGCTGACCAAGTGATAAAGGAAGTATTCTATTTGCGTGCACTGTACGTGTGAGCTACGTGTTTTCCGGCCATAACTATATGGTCACCCAGAGCAACAACAAAAAACCGAATTATGGCAGCCGCATAGTCATTAAAACGCCCATCAGGGGTTCGATTCAAAAGGATTTTCCGCTGGCGGTGCATGTGTGGGGATTTAGAAATCCCATTCGAATATGGCAACTGCAACTTAGGGTCGTTGGGGTTTATCGATTGCTCCAGTTTCTTGGGAAATACCTTGCATTCTGCGAGCACATATAAGTACCTGTAATCAACTCCTGATGACCTTGATACAAACACACGAACGCAATTACACCTGGGCTGAAAATCGACCAATTTATATACTCAATTGGACATAGAGGGAAATTAGCCTTTAATATTTATAGATTTTTCATAAGTGCAGCTACATTTAGGGAAAATGAAGGAAGCCCGGTGGTAATTCAATTGCCTATTTTCTTATGGAGTCTGACGCAAATTGGTTCAAGTAGATCTATCTCGTAAACAAAAACATATGTGGCTACAAATATATACATATTTGCGACGCTATTAAAATTTATTCTGCCAGCCGCGACGGCGTCTAAAAATACCACCATAGACATAAGAATAAATAGGTATTTTGGATTCATTCCAAGCGAATTTACTTATTTGTGGATTTCTTATAAATCCAACCGAAAGTATGCCAAAAGGGAGTGCATACTGTAAGAAAAACAATCTTTACTGTGGAAAAACAGAACTAATTATATAGCTGTCGTAATTGTCGCAGGCCTGGGATCTTAAATTAAACATTTGGGTTGCACTAAACCGGCAAAACAGTTTAGCACCCGAAACGCAATGAGTTTGGGGAATGTTTTCCCCAACGACAGGTGATAATTATTACCCAGCAGTAATGAGTACAGTACATTTCGTCTGTGCTTGTACTGCTTATCTGAGAAAAGTAAACAGATAGAAAATACACTGAAAACACTCGACAGTGTCACCGCTTTCAGGGGTAAGGTAAAGTCGGATCCTCAAGACGACAAAGGCGTCCACTGACAATCGATACAGAATTATTGGCAATCAACCAACATTACTTAGCTGTGTCATCGTTTGTTTAGTTGGCCCCCTGCGAAAACCCGCATTTCCATGGAACTCCTGCTCACTTGAGTTAAGGCATTTGAGTAATGCTAGGCTAGATTACTACTCTGTCTTCTTATATAAGTATAGGGTGAGTCAAAGTAGAGGTGCTAACCCCTCAAATTTCCCAGCTGCATGGAAAGTGCAGGGCAGCGTGACGAAATTGTCAAGTCATTAGTTTTAATTTTCATGTATTTTTAGCAAAACATGTTTTGTTTTCCCTTCGGCTCTCCATTAATTAATTTTTGTTTGGCAAATGAAAGCAAAAGTGACGAAAATTAATAAAAGAAAAGACTTTCTACACAGCAATGATTTTGGCAACCAATGGGCTGTGATCAGCTGGGGATTAACTATACTATACATCTATACATAGTATGCAAAATATGTGTCACAACGGTGACGAACTGACTCACTGGTGTTTACCTTCGAGTCTGCGGATCTGCGAGTTCCCAGCGCACCAATATATTGATGACATATCGCCCAGCACTTAACGGTTAACACTAACTGATCCGATCTACACACCCCTTCGATTTCTATGGGACGAATGCAATTTACCAGCAAATTAGTTCGCACATGCAACTGCAAATGCGGCTAATGCCCGATAAAAGGGAAAAGACTTGCTAAAAGAGAGCGTAAAACCGATGACGCCAACAAATGGCAAAGAAAACTGGTCTGAACAGCATTTACAATTAACAACAATTGCAATTGCAAAACAAAAGATAGAGCGGTACTTAACATTGAGAGGATCGGGAGAGTGAGAGAGTAGCAGAGTGTAGCGGTACGACAGTGAATCGACTGACTTTCCATGCCATAGTCAATGAATGGATGACAATAAAGCGGGCTTTCAAATTGCTTTTTCCATGCTGTATTTGCCTTTACATAGATAAAAAAGACCACCACCTAGGTTAGTATTTCTGTATTTTTTTAAATAAATGCTAAATTATATTCGATTCGGAAATTCAAATATTATAATTAAACGTTTTTCTTGATGTACATATGTGTGTTTTTATTATCTTCGCGTGTACATTAATACACGAAATCTATATATGGAACCTTAATTGCAAAACATTTTTTTTCACTGTGCACTGTGCTGTACATTTGATTATACAGCTGCTACTCTTCATTGGTCGTAGCATAGCATAGCATATGAAAATCAAACGATAAATTGAAGCGGCAACACTTATTTTCGTGCATATGAAACACGCTGTGGGGTGGTGGTTGTCCATGCAACAAATGTCCCACCCAGCACTCGGATAATTACATTTGACCTTTCGCCGCGCGTTTGTGGGTTTATTCAAATAACCGTCACTAATATCCGAAAGCGATTCGTGTTTCGGATGACTGTGCATCACTGAGATCACCGAAAAGTCACTCGTACATTCTGACTAAGTATCTGATTTACAATATTTACTTTTGCCAGTAACAATTCGCGTTGGCTAAACACGTCGACCTCGTTAACCGGTCCAAAATGCGTCCGTACCGTCCGTTGGCACGACTTTTTGCTTGGCGGTTCAGAAAGCGACTGAAGTACTGAAACGCTGAAAAACCAAACAACTGAGCAGAGAGCGCCGAGTGGCGAAGCAACAGAGCAGCCTGGCATCAAGTGTTTGCCGTTGTGAGGTGAGGGTATTTTGATTTCTGTAGTAGCGGGCGGCGGTGGGTTGCCAGACCTGGGGAAGTAACCGCTCAAGAAATCAATTTCAGCCATAGGTTGGCCTTTTGTTACTGCCCTTTAATGGCTTATCAAGATTTACATACACGCAATACGGTTAGTAATTAGTTATCACACATCTGCATGTCAGAATTGGAAGGCTAGGTGTCAGGCTGACAAATGGTTTGAAAGGACTAAAGAATAAGCTAAATGCTAATCTTCCTTTGGCATTGGTAGGACACCAAAAATTTATAAAAAAAATCTGACTGGCCCATGAGGGGATCGAACCCGCGACCTTCGCGTTATTAGCACGACGCTCTAACCAGCTGAGCTAATGGGCCATGTGTACTTTGCTTCCAAAAGGCTTATAAGTCTGGAAAGCTCAGTCTATTTAACTTTTAAATCCAAAAATCAAACCAAAATCCTATTTAGAAAAGCTTTTGTTTAAACGTTTTATTAATGAATAATGTTTAAATTTTTCTGAATATACATAAATTATTAATTTCTTGAATCATTTTAAAATTTTACTAGAGCTCTTTAAAAAATTAACTTCTAACGCTAAGTGTTGACTCTTGGCGAAAAAATATTTCGACTGATCATTAATTTACCATGAAATAAGATAAATATAATTTATAATAATGAATGACGTTCAACTGACTCACAAATCAGGGAGCTTTCTAATTTGAAACAAACATTTCTAAATCAAACAACAATTCTTAAGAACTTTGCTTTAATCATATGTTACCGCCGTTAGCCAGCTCATAATATTTTTTGTCATTTAGGCTTGGAGAATCACTTGTGTTTGACTACTAAGCAAGTTACCCTAATGCATGCAGATGTCTTACCTTTTTAATAATAAATAAAACTTTAGTTTATAAAAGGTTTCAAAATGGCAGGCAACAAAAAAATTGTTTCTCTATATAAATTTAATATTTTAAAAAAATTTAGTGCGCAAATGAAAAAAACTAATAATATATCTCTAAAGAAGTCCTTACTTACCGTTTAAATTGCAAAAAGATTTGTCAGAAGTGGGATTCGAACCCACGCCCTCAGAGAGGACCAGAACGCTCACACACTTTCGTTCAGAAAGCAAGATTTCAGATCTTGAGTCTGGCGCCTTAGACCGCTCGGCCATCCTGACATATGGCAATGAGCTGTCCGAAGCGCTAGTTGTGTGCGCGTATACAGAGAGTATAACAGTATAAGAACAGTTTTGCTATGTTGTATGACAGTTTCATATAACATAACATTGCACTGTTAATAGTATTACTTGGCAGGTCTGTTAAATCAGGTCTTTACTCTAATACGGCATTTGGCGGAGATTTAAACATGGCCCATTAGCTCAGCTGGTTAGAGCGTCGTGCTAATAACGCGAAGGTCGCGGGTTCGATCCCCTCATGGGCCAGGATGAATTTTTTTGTTCTTTTTTTAATGCACTTTGGAAATTAAAAAGTTAACAAAGGTTTGATAGGACATGTCCCGCTCACTTTTTGTGTTAGCTCATATAAGCTTATCCCAATTATGGACGGCTACTAACGTTATCTCATGCCGTGCACGTTATTACATCAAGTATCCTGCGATGATGTCACTTGGACCGGACGAGGATGATCTAACATGGTCTATTTCTTGCAGGGCAGCTAAGTGAAATGTCAATTCAATTTGCCATCAAGGATGATTGAATTACCCGTCCCTTTAGCTGCTCTATTGCTGCGCGTGTGGGGTATCTTAATTTGCTTTGGCAATCAAGCTAAACGGTTTATTGAGCGATCTTATCTGCGCAACGAGTTGAAAACGCTTTTAGACAATAGAATGGCAAACAGGGAAAATCCTTATTTATGGTGTTTTTTTCTCATTTTGCTTGCGTTACTTAAATCTAGTTTTTGAGCGCTTGCGAAATCAAGTGTCAGGATGGCCGAGCGGTCTAAGGCGCCAGACTCAAGATCTGAAATCTTGCTTTCTGAACGAAAGTGTGTGAGCGTTCTGGTCCTCTCTGAGGGCGTGGGTTCGAATCCCACTTCTGACAAATATTTTTTTTACCCAACCAAAACAAAAAACATGATTTACATATTAAGAAAAATCATACAAAAAATATATAGTTCTTGCTCCTACAATTACCCAAGCAGTTAAAGATGTATTTAACTTTTTCCAAGTCGCAAATACACATTTGTTTGTACTGGATATTTCAACCCGCTTGCATTTTATAAATAGCACTTCTGAAGGTGTTCTACATATATTGAATTGATTAGCTAAAAAGGCAGTGCGGCCTTTCTTGTTTTGTTTAAAAAAATAAAAGGTATAAAATGACTATATATTTTATTTTTACTTTGCCGAAAATGGAAATCAACTATATAACCTGTGGTCACCATTCAAACCCTTTCACTGTATTAGATTTGAAACTGTGATATTATATATAAATATATTTATTTTTCTACCAATTTAAAACATGTCAGAAGAGCAGTCGAGCTTGGCGCTAAAGCCCATACTAATATTGAGAGATGATGAAGAGGAGGAAGATGGAGCGGGAGGTGATGGGGGTGGCGGCGGCGAGGAGGAATCGAAGCCCAAGAAGCACGTCACCTTCAACCGGGTGGTGGAATACTTCACCTATTCGGATAGTTTGACCAGCTGGAAGAGACGCCTAATGTCCGACAACGATTTGGTAAGAATGGAAATACCGCTCCCAAGAATCCCATTTTGAATTATGGACTTATTTTTTTCAGCGACGAAGCATGCCGCCGGAGTCCAAGGCTTGCTTTGCAGAGAACTAAACCCAATTTACGACTCCAGCCCACCACGACGACCATATTGCAAAGGCAACACTGAGCAAACACAAGCCACCAGCGGAAGTTGTTAACTGAACGTGACACTTTTAACCTAATTGGGGAATAAACGGCTGCCCGTATCCTTCCGGGGAGAGGGGTGTGGACCTGTCAGTTGTTTTTAATGCACTTCCCATGTCCTAAAGTTGGCTAGGAGGCGAAGCAAATGGCCAATGAGTTATTCATGATTTGTACTTATTTATATTTTTGTGTGTTCGTATTAAAAGCATCAGCCACTCTGCACTTGTCTACGACTGTTTTGGCCTTCGGTTCAATTCAAAACGCGTAAGTGGCCATGCAATTTACAACGTTTTTCGTGCGCCGAGCGGAAAGAGTAATCTGCATTTGAAATATTTACAATTGGTAAGGCCCAGGCAATCGCTTGAGAGAGTAGAGAATAGATGGATTATGGCCAATTTGAGACGTCAAAACAAGCACGATAAGGTTTAACTCTGCAACTGACCTATCTCACCGAGTCGGTTAGCAAATCGATTGCCAGTTGGTAATTTAATACACCCTTAATCCTGCCAGCACCTGATACCGATGATATATGGCCGTGTCATTTGACTCCCTTATCCGCACGGGCAGAACCCAATGATAATCGTCACTCTGCGACTATAAAAGGCCCTCGAGGGCCGTTAGTTAGCCATCCACAGACGAAGAGCGCCACCACAGACATGTTCCTCCAGATTGTGACTATATTTGCCCTGCTGGCCATCGCTAATGGCGCAGTGACTCCCTTGGGCCTGGAACCTAACTTGCCGCAGGATGGCAGAATTGTGGGAGGCGTAGCCACGTCCATTGCGGATCATCCATGGCAGGTTTCCCTGCAGCGTAATGGTGCCCATTTCTGCGGCGGTTCTATCATCAGCAACAACATCATCGTAAGCGCCGCCCACTGCCTGATTTCTCCGTCCACGGCCTCCAATCTTCGGATTAGAGCTGGCTCCAATAACAGAAACTATGGAGGCGTTCTCATCCAGGTGGCTGCCATTAAGGTCCATGAGGGCTACAACACGGCAAGCAAGGTCAACGATATTGGAGTGGTGCGTCTGCAGTCGATGCTGACCTTTGGCTCCACCATCAGGGCCATTGCGATGGCCAGTGTGACACCATCTCACGGAGTGGCGGCCAGCATTTCGGGCTGGGGAAAGACCACTTATGGCGGCTCCTCCTCATCGACGCTGCTTTATGTGGACACCAAAATCGTTGGACGTACGCAATGCGGCAGCTCCACCTATGGATATGGTTCCTCGATCATGACGACCATGATATGTGCGGCGGCGGCCGACAAGGATGCGTGCCAGGGTGACTCTGGCGGACCTCTGGTATCCGGGGGTCAGCTCGTCGGCATCGTCTCCTGGGGAAAGGAGTGCGCTCTGGCCAATTTTCCTGGCGTGTTTGCCAATGTGGCCGAATTGCGGAACTGGGTCCTTCAGGCCCAGAACACTGTCTAGCTTAAGTTAAGCACAATAAAAACCAACTCGTAGTTGTAAATGCAGCTGGCAGGGCTTTCTTTTCTACTGCTGCTTCCGCTCATTTGACTGCTCAACAGCAGTGACTTGTGAATCCACTCCTCAATGCCACACATACGGCAACAGCACGTGCCCTTCCTGTGGGCCATGCCGCTCGTACATTCAATCTGGGTCAGTCCGCAGGGGTTGGCAACTGGGTGGGGCCTTAAATTCAGGCGGGGAATTGCTGTGGGACAATAGCAAGCCAGTTACAGGGTTTGCATACTCAACGCCCAGTACAGAGTCGTGTGACATATCTGTGGCATGGAAAATCTCATTCTTTTTAATTTGCGCATTTTTGAATTATTTTTTTTATACTGATTTAAGTGAGCTCCTTTTGTGAAATTTTTGATACCTCAAATGAAGATTATAGCTCTTAAATTGAGTTTGCTCTAATAATTTTTTTTGAAAAGATTTTATTTGAAGATTTTATGATTCAGAAATTCAGTTTTATTTTTATGCAAATAAGTAGACTATACGACCATTATATAGCTGTCAAAGGATCAATTGCTTCCTCCGGCAGTATGTGGGTATTTGTTAGGAAACAAAGAGGTTATAATTTTATTTCCCTTTTTTCCCGATTGTTCTTATGAGAGCTACAACATGAGATTAATACCTGCAACAGATAGCAGACTTTTTGCAAAATGTAGTTATATCCATTACTCGTAGAGTAAAAGGGTATATTGTATTCGTGCAAAAGTATGTAACAGGTAAAAGGAAGCGTTTCCGACCCTATAAAGTATATATATTCTTGTTCAGGATCACTAGCCGAGTCGATCTAGCCATGTCCGTCTGTCCGTAGGAATGCTGAGATCTCGGAAACTATAAAAGCTGGAAGATTGGCATTTTGCATGTAGATTTTAGGCGTTCCTACGCAGCGCAAAATGGTGCCACGCCCCCTCTGACGCCCACAAGCCACAAGCTGTGGCCACAGTTTTGATGCTATTATGAAAATTTTAATTGATATGTATTTGTTTCGTCAATACCTATCGATTGGCCTAATAAAAGTTTGCCACGCCCACTCTAACGCCAAAAAACCCATTAAACGCTTAAGCCTGGCTAGCGCCTACTTTTCCGCCTTTCATGGCCCGTGGTACCAATGTCTTGGGGTATATGGCGCAATACAATAGCATGTTTATATTAAGTTGTTTAGCTGAGTAATGGGTATCTAAAAGTTTTAAAACTAAAGTTTGCGTAGAATCTGACAGATGGACGATCAAACAGACATGGTCAGATCAATTCGCCTGTATATACTCCAGTATACCTTTTTCTGGAGTCATTTATCTATATTCAAGAAGCCATCTGTTTAACGTTGTGTATACTCTTTTATATTTTGTTCAGAAATTTGGACTCTGAAGATTTTAATCAGCATCAAACGTTGATAAAATTGCGAACATATTACATAAAATATTATTCCCATGTGACACATTTACGTTATGTTTTTATCGGAAATTAGTTTCTCTCTTGTTGATTTCAAAAGTTAATGGAATTCGATGGAAGGCTTTATAAGGAGCAAAAGATTCGTATCGAGCCTCAGTTCAGTTTAGCCGCTTGGGTAGAATGTTTATAAATACAAAATGTGTATGTTTTTTAAATTGTTCGGAATAATTCTTATTTTGACTGTCGTAAAGACATCAAGAGCAGATATACCGGACTGCGAATTCTCCGAAACCATTTCTAGCTCCCATTTGAAAAATGTTAACGACACCTTTATGCTTAATGGACGCTACATCCCTGCCAATCTCGTTGGAATATACGATTTCACAGAGCTGAGTAATGGATCCAAGAAGTTGGTTGATAAACATTTAAGAGCCTGTATCTGCAAAGAAAGGCCATGTGTCAAGTTCTGTTGTCCCCGCAAGAATTTGACGGTTGATGGACAGTGCAATAATGATATAAATATTCTCGACAAAACCGTGATATGGGATCGATTTGAGCTTTGCGACGAGGTGCTTGAACTGATGGAAGATGAGTTCACGATGTTTAAGGTTTGCCTTTCTATCCGCCATTTGTTTCTGCGTTTCTAATAAAAACTGTTTAGAACGGAACCTTACTTCTCCACACGGTAAACAAGTATTTCTACCAAGATGATTACTGCCTCTATCCCCAGTTAAACTCGGATTTTCCAAAGTCCATATGGATTGTTTTCCACAACTGCAGACCTAGACTTCCTCCATGGATCTTGGAGAGTAAGAACAGCCATCTACGACCACTAGTCTTAGGATTTTATGTGATTTTCCAGACATTTTCTTGACATATTGTCAAAAATCAATTCTGATTGATTTTGTTTTATGATAAACAAAAAGAAAGAGAACAAGAAAGGAAAGCTAACTTCGGGCGGAGCCGAAGTTGATATACCCTTGCAGAATATTATGTACATTATATTCTCCAAAATTATTCACAAGATGCATTCTTAATACTCATCAAAAATCCCAACTTCCTAACTTTAAAAACACCAAAGTTATGGCATTTCCAATCGTTCAGTTATATGGCAGCTATAGGATATAGTCGGCCGATCCTTATGAAATTTAATAGGTCGGATTGATTGGCCAAAAATAAAACTCACAGAAAATCCCAACTTCCTAACTTAACAAACACCAAAGTTATGGCATTTCCGATCAATCAGATATATGGCGGCTATAAGATATAGTCGGCCGATCCTTATGATATTTGGTAGGTCGGATTGATTGGCCAAATATAAAACCCATAGAAAATCCCAGCTTCCTAACTTTACAAACACCAAAGTTATGGCATTTCCGATCAATCAGTTATATGGCAGCTATAGGATATAGTCGGCCGATCCTTATGAAATTTGGTAGGTCGGATTGATTGGCCAAGTATAACACCCATATAAAATCCCAACTTCCTAACTTTACAAACACCAAAGTTATGGCATTTCCGATCAATCAGTTATATGGCAGCTATAGGATATAGTCGGCCGATCCCGGCCGTTCCGACTTATATACTGCGTGCAAAGGAAAGAAGGGTGTGTGCAAAGTTTCAATTCGATAGCTTTAAAACTGAGAGACTAGTTTGCGTAGAAACAGACAGACGGACAGACAGACGGACAGACGGACAGACGGACATGGCTATATCAACTCAGGAGGTGATCCTGATCAAGAATATATATACTTTATAGGGTCGGAGATGTCTCCTTCACTGCGTTGCACACTTTTGACCAAAATTATAATACCCTCTGCAAGGGTATAATTATGGCAGTCAAAGTTTATGTAGACTTGCAGGTTCCCCTCTACTTTTAACATATTGTACATATTACAAAATATCTAGACAAAATCCGAAATATTTAGACCAAAAATGCGAAATCACATAAAACCCGAGTTCTAATAATATGTGTTTCCTTATAATCTTTCTTTCTGATTATGTTCCCCCAGTAATATTGATATCGATAGTATGCTATATCCTCACTATCGCAGTATATCTTTACGTTAAGGTGCTCTTGAATGAATTGGGAAAGTGCCTAGTCAGCTGCATGTTTAGCATGTCAATATGGAACTTTATCTTTGCACTGGATGAGTTAAATTTATTACAGGGTATTTGCGCTCTAGCAGGTTAGTTGTTAAAATTCGATAAAATTATTACATGAATGAGCATACTAACATTCGTTGCTTTCTCTCAGCTTACAGTAAATACTTCTTCTATGTGGCATTTCATATATGGTTCTCTGTTATCAGCTACCATTTGTGGAAATGGATCACTTCGCTCAATCGACACGAGCCTCGATATCTGTGTCTGAAATACAACGCCTTTGTTTGGGGCACCACTGCCATTCCGACAGGAGTCATTTTTGTGATGAATAAAGTTTGGGAGAAGGATCTCCAAAAATGGAATTGGATGCCCTTAATGGGATTTTCTGTCTGCGCGGTAAAAGGCATGTATTAGTTGGAACTTAATTTAAAGTGACACCTTATCTAGCTAAATTTTGTCTTTTATTTTTTCCACCCACAGTCTGGCACTTATCCTCCTGGGTGTACTATGATTTTCCGATTCTGATACTAAGCATTTTCAATGGGATTATGTTCAGTCTGACGGCGATTTACATTAGGAAAGTGAAGAGGGAAATTAAGAATTGTACCCGAAAGGAGAGGACAACATCTTGCCTGGATCTCAACATTGAGACGTAGGATTCTTTTAGAATTTTTTAACTATGCTGATACTCTATATATATTCCTATTTCAGTTTCTTAGTGTTTCTGAGGTTATTTTTCACAATGGGCGTATCCGTGATCGTGCTTCCTATTTTGAAGTTTGTGCTGGAATATAATTCTTTTCCGAAATATATATTTATAAATGCAGTTATTTACGTTCATTCCGCCTCAGGCATAATTGTTTTTGTGATGCTTGTTCTAAGGCGCAGCACCTTTAGGTTGCTGATGGATAGGTAAGTCCTCATATTAATACTAGCCCTTTTATTAATATATTTTCGCCCAAGCAGATTTCATAGAAAATAAAGGAAACGGTGTCTCAACGCTTTAAACAACGCTCAAACTGCATTGCTGAGGGGATTTTAAATCGTCCTTATAAAGTATACGAATTATTCTTTCAGTTTTACAACTGTTGCTGGTAACAAAATAAAGTATCGACAGACGATTTGTAATTGCAAAAAAATCAACAATTAAAAAATATATATCTTGTTAATGCCGCAATCACTCAAAAATAGGTAGAGTAAACGTATAGAGCAGGTTAATCGAAAAAAATGGCCTTTAAACAAATGAAGCTGTTGGCAAACAAATCTCCGGGAGGCATTGGCAGTGAAAAACCGCACCCTCGCTCCGCCTTTTCTACAGACTACGTGGCGCCAACGGTATTGATCCAAAACTACAAAAGAGAAGCGACAAAGTCGGGAGATGATGGCTGAGCCCATGCCCCGGCCCACTAGCAGCATCTACAGCAACCTACAGATGGTGACTATAGCCTATGGAATTCCATGGATTCTTGGGAATTCAGATGCCACCCCAACTGCCACTCACTCACCTTCGTACTCTGTGCGCTTCCTTCGCAGCAATGAGGCGGTCATTCGCAGGCCCCGATGGGCCAGGACAGAAACCCGACTCCTGCCGCTCTGCCGTGATAGGATGGAGCCCTTGGAGTCCTTGCGGTTGGACGACCGTCGACGGGAGGAGAGAGTCCCCGCCGCAGAGGTGGACACGGAGGCTGGCGGCTGTAGACCAGAGATCGGGGTCACCGGGGTATTGGGCGTGTCCGAGTCGATGAAGCCCAGGTTGCTGTTGGCACTGTTCAGGTGGATGCTGGTGTGATCCGTTGGTCCACAAAGCGTTACGCTGCCACCACTATGGACACTATGCGACACGGAGGCGGCCAGCTGCTCATCCAGGCCATCCGAGGCGCGGGGCGTCAGGTGCTCCAGGGATTCGAAATCGCGGTTAATGGCCGGCGGCATCGAGTGCCGGAACCAGGAATCCTGGCGTTGCTGCGCCACGCGTTGTTGCCGACGGCGCTGGCTGGCCGAAGATCCCGACAGATTCCGCAAACGTCCATCAGGATCGCCCATAGTTCCAAGATCCGGACTGCGGAGCTCCAGGCTCTGGCGCTGGTAATTGCCCGACATGTCGGGTTCTCCAATCAGGGATTTGCTCCCAAGGCACTATTTGGTCAGGGTTCAAAGTCTGCAGGCACTCTCAAGGCACTTGTGGCTACTAACTCGTCCTCCAATCTCGTTACGTAAGGGCTTTAACCTCTGACTTGGTGGGGGGTTCCATGGTTGTCTCCAAAACAACTTCCTTTACCAAATTCACATTCCCATTTCGTGGGCCTTGACTCTGACAGGTGTTGAGAACCGGAACAACTGGCAAACCAAACGCTGCCATTAGTCGAGCGACTTTAAAGGACTGAATTCCGGCTAATACATCAAAAATTCATTGCAGTTCTGACATTCAGGGGTAATGGTGTTTACTTGTCACGCATATCAAGTCGGGGCACGCTTTGGCTGGTGGAGATACCAGTATCTATATACTTTCAAGTGCCTTTATTGCCAGGAATCAATCTTCGTAGCATAAATCTGTGACAGTATAAATAATTAAAGCGTCGTTCAAGGCGGAAACCTTCAGATTATCGAACTGCACTCCCGACTTGAAGTGCCCGACTGCAGTGCTAAATTGAGTATTTACACCTCTCCAATTACGCTACGCCGTAATTGCAAAAAGTACGAAAAGGAGTGGGATTACGGGGCCGCTTTCAACGATTTCCCACGGCAATGGCAAAACAGTTGCTGCTGGCGGAAAGGGCCGCAGCCGAACAAAAAAACACGTCCAAACCGAACCGAAGTCAAAAGCCAACTGCGGATCGTCCGCAGGAAAAAAGGAAAAGGGACAGCCCACAGTCGCCTTCGGTCCACGAATACCCGAGCCCTTTAGCCGAAGCCGATGTGGACTATGAGGAGTTTTCAAAAATATATGTGTCGCCCAGAGGACTACCCGCTGCTCGTATGTGGGGCAAGCATTAAATAAACTACGAGATAAATTGGGTAACTATGAAAATGCGACTGTTTATATTTTACATTTTCCAGGCGAGAGTATGCAACAACCAATGCTTACTGCTTTCCCTAACTTAAGTTTATTCTGGCCACAACGAGTCACCGCGGCCCATTAGCTCAGCTGGTTAGAGCGTCGTGCTAATAACGCGAAGGTCGCGGGTTCGATCCCCTCATGGGCCAACTCTAAATTTTTTTTTATTAATAGTTTTTTTTTAAACATTGATGTTGACTTGGTATCCAGGTGCTGTAAAAGTAATCTTATCGTTATATTGTTATATTGTCTGCGGCAGAGATTCACATAATTTTTTATCAATATTTGCTGGTGAATTCTATTTTTGGGAGGCGTAAAAATGGTTCACACACACAACATCTGAGCTTTGTGCATACATAAGTTTTTATAATGATTTTAAATGTTAATGTTAACTAAATTTTTCGCAGACTTTCATATATAAAGTTTTATTAAAACCTCTATTAACCCTGTAGTTTGCGTAACCGGTGAATCATGAAGAATGAACAACGTACATTCATAATTATTATAAATTATTTTTTTTTCATAGCACCATGTTTTGATAACGGTTCATGGTCTAGAATTATGACTGTAGAAGATTAAGCCTAGAAAGCAACACATTCACCGGAACAAACAACTTATTGGCTTCAGAAGCTAGAACCGTCACATCTTGTGGGAGGTTTACTTACAGGTATTCAGGAGGCCGGGTTCGGGGAACTCGTTGCGGCGGTAAGACAGGCGAAGGCGTGAAATGGAGGGCATAGCTTCCTATCGAGCAACTGGTGACCGAACATAAACATCCGAGACAATCGCCGAATGAACTGCCAAGAAAAGTGCGGCCCTTGTTTGGCTTCTGTTTCTGTGTGTATTTCCACACAATCCGTTCAGTTTATTTCCTCGAAGAAGGGAAAACGATTTATGCCAGCAAACATAAATGCCTACACAACACTTCCACAAATATAAAGTGAATAATGTTCGTATATAGATTGATAAGGGACTAAACAAAGCCGTAACTTGAGCGATAAGGTCCGCTCACACTTCCTCACTCGGTTTTTTCTATCTTAACTTGTAACTTGCTCGGTTTTAACGCTGTACGTATTTATTATTAACGTAAACACGAGTCGCGACGCCGCTTGTTTTTACCTTTTATATTGCTTTTTATTGTTCACATTGGCTTTTCTGCAGATCTGGCAGCGCCGGCACTAACAGCTGCTCGCTTTTTATCGAAAATCGTCAGTGGATATGAATTCAAAAAATCCGTTACAAGCCACTGCACATAAATTTTTGAGTATTATGGCTGATCGTAATTTCTTTTCAAAAATATAAATATTTTGCAAGGAGAATTGGATGAAAAACAAGAAACGCTATAAAATATACAAGTCTATACAAAAATATGTCTAATTGATGAGTTTAGTAGACCTGATTCCCATTAATATTTATTTAATTTTTTTATATTTGTCGATTTGTAAAGCTCACTTCAGAAGTGAGTGAAGGTTTTTAAAAAGGAAGACATTCCAATAATTCAGACCCCCAACCGCATTTTAAATAAGTATAAAAACACATTTATAATTCTAACGCAATTGTTTATTCCCTAAAACGACAGGGTACAAATGACTTAAGTTCTAGGTCTTGTTCTTCAGGACACCACACACTACTTTTTACACATTGTACAAAGGGATGCTTCGAAACAAAGTTATTGGATGGCAACGTGGTTAAACCGTTTTGGCGGTAAGTCAAACAATTATTTCAATATCCGTTTCGATGATTAACTGAAATCAGGGATTAAGAGCGGTTAAGTAGTAGGAGGATACATTAATCAAGCGGTAGCTACACGCAAGTAATAATACAAGTTTTGGTTATTCGACACAAGAATCAGGAGAAGTATGCTAGAGAATATTCGTAAGTGTTTAGGTACTAGGAGGATATATACAGTCTAATATACATGTGTCATTCAATATGAATGAGTGCGCCGGGTTAGATACATTTTATCAGCACTCAGTTATTCTGTTAACTTTATGTGTTGGTGCTAAAAACAGATGTGATATTTCATTCAATGGGTTCGATTCCCATAACAGTCTTTAGAAAATGCATGGGTATTTTGTATTAATAACTTCGCTGTTTTTCTCTTTAAACACAAAAATATATAAAAGAATCATTATAAGTTAGCAACGAGACAACAAAATACAATGCAGACAAATAATGAAAATGGCAAGAACAATTTGAAAATGGCAAATTAATATTGGGTAAATGGCCTCTCGGGTTAATGCTGATATACTGGACGTCGGCGCGATCGTTATAACTCATTCTCCATGTTTGAGCGAACGTTTCGCAGAACGTTGTGCGTTTTTAGTATTTGATTTTTGATGTCTTTCTCGACTTGTGCTTTTGCTTTGTTAGCCATACGCAACTTTTCGTAGGTGTCTTCAAATGCGCGCTTGGTGCGAATTAGTTTGCGCCGCAACTCGGCGTTTTCAAGATCTACCTTGGCACAGTCGTGAGCTGTGGCTGCAGCAGTTGCCAGGTTGGCCTTGCTGTCAGGTGAAGAAGATTCTATGGAAAAATAAGTACAAAAATTAGATGAGTGATCTCTTTGCAGCTTGTTCCACCAAACTTACCCTCGGACTTTGTCTTCGCACACTCGTTTTTCAACTCTACAGTCTTGAGCATCGCTCGCTGGGCATTGGATAGCTCTACGCTTGAAATCCTTCCGGCATCGCTCTCTATGCCCAGATCTGGGGATGAATTGTTGACCCGCTGGGCCACCACTGCAGCAGCAGTCAGTTTGGAAGAGGAAGCCAGACTTGCGGGAGGTCCCATTGGCACCGCCACCTCCTCGGAAGTGTAGCCAGACTGAGAGACATCGCTGCTGTTGGAGCGCTTCTGCTGGAACTTTCGTTGTTCCTCCTTAAGCGCCTCCAGCTGAAGCTTCAATTCTTCGGAGCGCTTCTCCAGTTGAAGCTTGTCGTTGTACGCCTTTGTGCGCTCCATTACCGCCTTGGAAGCCTGCAACGTGCTCTCGTCCAGTTGCTTCTTCAAGGCCCGCGTGGCCAGCTCGTTCTCGACGAGCGTCTGCTTCAGCTCCTTCTCGTTCTCCTGGTGATAGTCCAGGGAGCGTTGCAGCTCCAACAGCTGTTGCGCCTGCTCTTGATAGGTGGTTAGTGCCACCCAGTCACGTTCGAGTGCCTCCTGGTGTAGGTGCTCGTGCTCTTCCAACTGCTTAACTGCTTCCACTTTGTGTTGCTCGAGCTGAGTTTGCAGGTGGTCCACCGAATCGGCGTGCTGCTGTTCCATTTCCTGCATTTGCTGCTGTACCGCCTGCAGTTCCATTTCAGTTATCTGTGCATCCGCAGTCAAAGTGCTCTGTGCCAGCTTCAGTTGGTCAATCTGCTGGGTCTTGAGCTCCAGCTGGCGTTGCATCTCCACCATTCGCTGATCCTCGTGCGATCCTATGGCCTGCAGGTCCGCAGTCAGAGCCGCGTTGATGGCTCTCAATTGTTCGAGTTGTTGGCTGATATCAAGACAGCGCAGTTGTTCCTGCTTGTACCTATTGTCCAGCTCCACCAACTGGCACTGCACGTTAAGCACACGTTCGTCCTTCTGCGCAATCTGTTCCTCAAGCTGGGCGATACGTTCGCTGTTACGGTTGCGATCCTGGCGGGTGGCACAAGCTCTTCCTTCACTCTCCGACTCGCTGGCTGGCTGATCTGGTGCTGCCAAACTGTTGGATGTTTCGTCCAGGCCAATGCGTGCCAGGGAAACCTTGCGATCTGGCTCTGACCAGGCTTCGGATTCGCTCTGGTTGTCCAACTGCTGGGACGGCAATGGCAGGGAGCGACGCTCCTTGCGTTGCAGCTGCTGTCCTTCGGTGCTGCGTCGCTTCTCTAGTTCCCGTTTCAGAGCCTTGTTCTCCGCCTTCAAATTCTCCACTGTTGGACTCATTGAACTGGCGGCGTGGATCTCCTCATGGGAGTTGAACGTCTTGTGGCTTACATCGCCTTCGGTGTACAGGATCTCGGAGAGATTACATAGCTGCGCGAGGCTCTGATCAGCCAAGGAAGCACCTGTTATATTCAGAGTCATATTAAGACTCTTGGAGAGATCCAAGCTGCGGTCCACAGCCTTACGCATGGCGTGACGACGATCGGCGGCCAAAACGCCAAGGACATCCTTGTGCTTCAACAGAGAGTTTAGGAACCCGGCCAGCTCTTCTAGTCGGTTAGTCAGCACACTGCACACATCGGCGCACTCAAGACGCCACTTGTCCGACGTCTCCACATCCGTGCGAGCTTGCTGGAGTTCCAATCGCAACTGCCCGATCACCGCGAAATTCTGCTGATCCTCTGCCAAGCGCTGGAAGAGCACGTCCACCTTGCGCTGCAAGACTTTGTTGCGCTCCACTGCCCGCATGTACTCCGCTTCTGTGAAGGATTGCTGCAGGTCTGCTTCGCCAGCGGACTCCTCGCCAATTTGGGGCAGCGTCTTTTGCTGATTCGCCAATAATTTGGTTAGGCGCTCCACCTCCCGATTCTTCTCCCACAGCTCTTTGTTGACCAGGTTCTGCAGATTGGCAGTCTTCTTTTTGACCTCCGCTTGCAGCTGCTTTATCTTCTCCTCCTGCTCGGTGATCTTAAGCTCGTAGCGCACCCTGAGATTGGTGGAGATTTCCAGTGAGGATGCTTCGTTGTCACTCATCGAACGGCCTGTCGTTGATGGCGAAATAGTCGTCTTGTTGCTGTCGTTCTAAAAGGAAATTGCAATTATTAATTATTTGTCCTTAAAAGAATAAGTATATTGTTGTTAAACTATTTAATATACAAATTTTTAATTAAGCAACTATGCTTAAGTTGTTTAAAAAAAATCTGTATAAAATTTGTCATCTTTTTGGTTTTACAACAAATTGTATCAATTATTATGTTAAAAGTTTGCCTTACAGTTTTCTTAATTGGATTTTAAAATTTTTAGCAAACACACATTCTATTTTTTGACATGCATTTTTAGCTGTTCGTTAGGTGACATACATTCATACGAGTGACAGCCCTGAATAATAATTAAATATATTTATGTTTTCTATATTCTTTTTGCGACCTAATTGCCCAAAGTGGGTTCAGCTTTCTTGAAAAATAGAGGGCCATTTGTGTTTTAATTTAAACACCCAACACACATTTCAATATTTTTTATTACTACAGGAAAGCAAACATTTTTTTCTACTCGTATGGGTATATTAGTGTAGTACAAATTTGTAAAAAACTTTACGTTCCTACTCTTACCCGTTCATTCTTTGGAAAAAATGCGATTTGAGGACTGCGCACTGGCGTTAGAGTTTAAAGTATTAGGTTTTATTTGCTGGCTCTGATTAAATAATCTTTTGACAAGCAAGTGGCGTTTTCTTTTTACCCATAAAAATGTTTTGTTTGTTCTTCATATTTGAACAAGATAGTTAAATTGGCAAGATTAGAAACTAGAAATAGTTCTAAGTGGAATACCGTTGCGCAAAGCCCTAAACTTGAAATAAAATAATAAATTTATTGCACAATAAAATGACCACATTTTACGGTAGAAGTAAGGTTTTTGATCTACCATATTAGAGTAAATATAAATTAAACTACACTTTTTATATGCAAAGCACACCAAATTAAAAAAATTAGATATTTAATAAATCCTTACCCCCTTATTGACCGACTGCTCCTTCTCCTGATTAAGGCGCTTGATTTCCTTCTCCTGGCTGCTAAGCTTCTGCATCAGCTTCTGAATAGTGCGGCAGGCCTGCTCGTGAATTCGCTCGCGCTCCTTGAGCTTCTCCTGGGCGTCCTGTAGTTCGCACATCTTGTCCGCCAGTTGGGCGCCCAGTTCTCGCTTGGTCTGTAAGTGATCAGAGACGACGGCTACAGCTTCCAAAGAGTTCAACACAAGATCTTAGCTTAGAAATAGCTTATGCTTTTAATTGGGTTCAATAACATTCATTCAATTAGGACGTTGACATTCAAGGGGATTAAATTGAATACACCTTAACGAGAAATTTGTCGATGTCAGGGGAAGCGACATCGTTCTAATAAAGTATGCCCAACATCTGATAGATTAGGTTTCTTCAACGATCAACAAAAACGGGACAAATAAGAGAAGGCGGTGATCAAATGGAGAACATGACTCCGCCCAAGTTGGCTCGGCTGTACTTTCGGCAATGCGGATACAGCAACGAAGTCAGCCCGATTCCGGCATGGGTATTGCCGCCCTCACAGGACATTTGAAACGGCATCCGTGCGTTTTGCAGACAGATGTGCAGCTGCACCATCAAAAGGGTCAGTTTAAGGGCTACGTGCCCCAGCGCCAGAGGAACTGCCGGAACCCAGTGTAACTTGGCAACGAATAGTTGTAGAAAGCCGTACTGGGTGCATTCACGGCCAGCAAAGTTGCGTGCCTGCTGTGGTGGTGCCCCGACTGGTGAAGATACTGGGGATTCATATATGATTGCTGCTGCTGCTGCGGCTGTGGACAACGACGATTTAGGAGCTGGGCGCACTGATCGCTGGATTGGAAGTGCTTCACCTGACCGGCGTTCCAATCGCAAAGGCTTTTGCGCGACGACGGCCCCCGACTGCCGCACAAAACACTGATCGATGAGAAGTTGGAGTGCAATGAGGAACTGCTGCCGCAACGTGCAAGAGAAGATGTGTTACCAACCCCAGCATCCACCACTGTGCGCATCGGCTGCACGACGGCTACGCCACGATCCAATTGGCGCAGCTCCTTTTGCCGCAGGTTTCCAGAGATCCCGCGAAAGTAAAAGTTCTCGTCCCGCACAATTTCCAGTTCGGCGTTTAGTTTGGCTATCAATGCCTCGTACTCCAGCAGGCTGTTTAACATACCTCCGTACGCTTGCTCCTTGCGCTTGATTGTGTCCTTAAGGAGGGGAATTACTAATTGAGGAGAGGATGGCTGAGGGCGTGGGAGTTGGGAACTCACTTCCAAGAGCTTGATGGTCTGCCGCTGCACGTCCATCGTTTCGGCGGCATCCTTCATAGACATGCATTGATCGGACAGCTCGAGTTTTACGGCATCGGCGGAGGTCACCAAGTTCTGATTCTCCACCCGGCATTCCCCGATCTCAACCTTCAACTGTTCTATGATCTTCTAAACATAAGGGTCTCTCTTTAACCATTCCATTCCCCATCTAATCTACAGGGAAAATACCATTGAATAGCTTTACTTACGTTTGCCGACTCGACGGATTCGGTGTCCTTTTCAAGGCGCTCCACTAGCTCTGCATTCTTGATGGCCAGCTCCTCGATCTTGGCCTCGCATGCCGTTAGCGATTCCAGGCGCTCGGCCAGCGCGAATTCTAGCTCACTTTTGGCAGCCTTGTTACGTATGTCGGTCTCCATCAGTTCATCCTCCAGTTTATGCACCTCCGACTCAAGGCGCTGCAGCTTCTTCATATCAAATGAAGCATTGCTTTCGCCAGGCTGGGCAGATTCTGCCATCTAAAGAAGAATTAATAAATTAACGGGTTTTCAGGTGCAACGGGCATTGGTTTTTGTAGATTTTGTATCTTAAACGCTCTTATGAATCGGTAAACACACCTGATACGAGCGAATCTGTTCCTGCAAGTCATCAATTATCGCCTGGCTGTCGAAGTCTACTTTGCGCTGCATTTCCTCGTGGTGTGAGATTGCCCTGGCGGCATCCTTAAGCAGTTCCATCTTCTCATCGACGGTTTTTCGCAGCATTTCGATTTGGATTTTCGAATCGATGAGCTGCTTGCCTAAAGAGTCTTGGGAATTGTTTGCACGGGCGCCCGGCTGACCCTCCTCCATGAAGTAAATTCTCAGCTTCAAATTAAAGTTCTCCTTGCGCAGTGTGGACATCTGCTCCTCCAACTCGCGCACAGATCGACCTTGCATCATCATTGGCGAGTGACTGCCGCCCTGAGGTCGCGGCACATCGAAACTGGCATCTGGAAACCAAAAAAAGGTGAAGATTAATATGGAGTGGATTAGATTCTTCATAAAATCTGAACTGACTGAGAAACTGAAATCTTCTCGAACTAAGCGTGGATGAGGACGAGGAGCGATTTTTGTTCATGGCTTTTAGTTTTCGACTAGCCGTTAGGGCGCAACCACATAGAAAATATATAAAGGCAAACTAGGCGGCCAAATTAATGTACAATGCTCTGTGTGTGTTGCCAAAACGGAACCCTAATATTCAATGACTTTTACCATTATAATAAAAATAGTATTTAATTCACAGCCAACTAAGAGAAGCTCTGATTTCATATAGTTTAAAAAACCAAAACGTGAAATCATTAAATCTGTCAAACTTACATGAGTTCTCCATGGTGACATCTTGCAAAGCTCCCGGACTGGTGCTGTAAAGAAGGAGGAAATCTGTTAATTGAGCACAATGAAAGCAGCTCGCTGTGACCTCGCAGAACATCCAATAAAACAAGTCGAATATAAACGGTAATTAAGATTTTAATTTAGCATACACAAATTCACATATTTCGGCAGTGATGACATAATAGGCAGACTATCGCTAACAACCTTTGACCTCGTCCATCTTGCTGGTCGCACAATCTGTGGCGTTGTGCGGCTGGAAGCACTCATCAATGGTTTCCAAAGTACCATTGCAGAACTCCGGATAAACGGACCAGGCCGTCCAGCCCTGCTGTTTCTGGATGAGCCGAGCGCACTGGACCGCCATGGTGATGTCGTCGCTCAGAAGGTGAGTGCAATTCACATTGCAATCATTGAATGCATAGTACTCCGTTCGATTTGGCGGCGCACACCAGAAACGATCGCTGATCTGGAAGAGTCCATAGTCCCGGGAGCCATCCGCATTTCCCTGACCCACGACGTGCGTGTTGAAGCGGCTCTCAAACTCGGCAATGCAAAGCCACAGCGGTAGCTCCGATTTCGGGACATCAAGTATATAAAGCTGACCAGCAAGATCGCAAGGCTTCAGGCGAATGGCCAGCAGGGGAATTCCCTGGAACAGGAACCACACCACCGGGAGTACTCTCACTTTCGACCAACTTGATCGGACCATTTCAAGTGAGATTCAGTCACGAAGTGAATATCCACCTCCGGCTATCAAGGTATCTTTACTAGTATCAAGCGATCATGGCTAGCGAGCTTAATCCGACTCTCAAACCGGTTTACATTATTTGGCCTGGCTTATGACTTAAATTGGTAATAAATACTGGAAAATCAACGGACAATGCAACAAAGTTTGATGCTTGCATTGCACTTTGTTCTGACTACTAAAAATCTACTGTTAATGAATGACAATTCTCCCTTATAAGAAATAAAATAAACTGGAAATGATCAGAATTTCTATATTGATCATTTTTTACGCTAATTAAGAAACTGATTTGAGTTTTCCTAATTAATTCACTGGGGCGTGAAAATGATAGATTGGTTTCCATTCAAATAAACACTCACAGTGCGATACTATACTATAAGGAAACTAGACAAAATCAAGTTAAGATTGTTTTAAAAAGTTTCAGACTGTAGAAACTATGTTACGTTTAACTTTAAATAAAGTTTTAGATATATTTTAAGAGCTGAGTTTAACCCTCAACAATAAAATGAAAATACTCATGAATAGCTTCTTGAAATTGCGATCCGCACTGTATGCCTATTCTTTCAATTACAGACACACCCAATTGCTCAAATCGGCAATCAACCTCTTTTTTGTTTTTGGCCAATTGCTTTGTGAACTAAATTTCAGTCAAAGTCACACTTGAATGATCGCACTTCCAAAAACCACAAGTCGAAATGGATGAGATTACACTTCCGCCCCTTAAATCCACCGTAGATCGGGGAAGAGGGAAGTGCAATTAACGCAGTATAGATTACGTACAGTAGGCCCAACAAGTTGAGAACCAAAACTTACCAGAATGCTCCATTGCCGGAATTTAGAGAATATCGTTTGAATGGGGAGCCAGGCACATCGGTTGAGTGGTTCAGAGAGGTAGATCGAAATATACCCGCCATTTTCTATGTTTCATTTAGCATTTGCGCTCCTATTCGTCTTTATTTTCTTTTGATTATATATATATATGGATATTTGCAGCGACTCTAAATTTGAGATTTAATTAGTTGTTTTTACACGGGGTGGACACGTCACCACTAGTTGTTGTTGTTCTTGGCTTTATTCCCTAAATACTTTTGCGGCGCACGCCAGACTTCGTTACGTATCCGCCATGTCGTCTTCCAAGGGGCAGGCCGCCATGAGTCATGGGCTGCTGGCTGACGTGCGCAGCAATCAGGAGCATTCAGCCGTAGAGCGGAAGAAGCTTCAAAGAGTCTGGCGCTCCTACGGATAGGATGCAGATCCCAGAGATGGGGGATGGACGACGGACGACGGCGCATGTGGGCCACCACATCTTCGAAGAGGCTAACAGATACACTACACACACCTCTGGTCGTAATTTATTTTGGGAATTGAGCAAATTGCAAAAAGGCGACCGCAATAGAAACTGCAAAACGTGCACCGGGCAAGAAATGTCTGCCAAACATTTCCACTCAATGTTTTGTTTTGGCTTTCGGCTCGGTTACTATGGTGGTAATGAAAATCAATGGTTTAAGTTAAGGACCGACGGTTGGGTGGGATTGTAAACAACAGGTGGGCGTTGGAAACGTGCTAGAACATGTGTCTCCTCGGTTAACACCTGAACAATATCTCGGATGCGTTTTAGGGCCCTCACATCGGCAGGTTAACTGCAGTTAGCAGCCCATTCTCACCTCGCGTCTTGAGTGGGTGTCAAACTATGGTTAATGACACACAAAGGCGCCTGCATTATTCAACAAAGAAGTACAATAACAATAAACAGAAGTAGTCTGAGCATATATCGAGTGATATGTGAAGGCAGTATTATGGACAATACCCATATGGCTTAAGGCCGAACGGTATCTTAAAAATTTTTGGACAGGTACTGCAAGGTGAAATGTAACTACCTGAAAATAGTTTTAGAATGTCTAATACCTACTATACGATTTTCAAGTACACAAAATATGATCCAAACCCATAACTTTTAGATTGTTGAAAAAATCGTTAAAGTTTATGTAATACGAGGTAATGATAATATCTAAATATAAGCTAAAACATCCAATTTTCAGAGATATCTTTGCTTTAGGAAATTTAACCAAAAAAAATTCATTTTCAATAGCCCCCCAACTCGCAACTACAAAATAATGGTCATTATTATGCATCATAACACACATTAGAAAGAAGTTCTGCAAAATTTAAGTACAATTAAAATAATTTTTGAAAATATATACACAAAACCCCACAAAATAGATAATTTAATATACCACAGCCTTTTAAGATTAACGCTCGAAAAACCCACTAACTTATTATTATAAACAAAGGAATATTGATCAGGAACTTCTATCTTTTGTTCACTAGATACAATTTTATGAAAAACCACTAATTTGTTCCCAAATTATAATTTTATTTTATTGATAGTGACCGCAGCCTGATGACCAATTTGGGTGATACATACTTCTTCTTTGTTTTTTATTTTACATCCGCTAAAAATGGGATCTCAAATAAATGAGTCTGCTCTGATACTGTACTTCACAAGCCAGGATGCCTTTTTTCAGGGTAGGGACCAGTATTGCAGTTTTAAAGGGCAACAAAGAGGTGTTCTGTTCCGTTTTTACCCCATAGGGGTTAATTCAACGAGTCCATGACCCCTGATGAATGCACGCGTGTGTGTAGATATTAACCCACACATGCAACTGCAGACTGATAAGAAGACTTATGAAGAAATTAGGAATTCCAGGAAATGATAAACTAAAGCTAATGATGTGATATGTCTGTCGATTGAGCTGTGGAATGCTCTATTCCACAAACAAATTAATTTCTATACTTTTCCTCCGACTAAAATTAGCCGCAGCATCGCGGCGACAAACCATACGAACAACAACAACAACTGGGGGCACCACCACAGACATCTGTAGTATCTCTAAGTATGTATTACATTGTATGTACATCCGAGCACACTTTGGTTCTTTATATATTTATTTCGTTTTGTTTTTCACTCAAGAACCACTAGCATCCTCTGAAACGCTTATCCACAGCGATGTAAGCAATAAATACAAATCAATCTATCACTTTTGTATCTCGTAGTGCAGTATAAACAATTGCGCTTATGTACAGATATGTACAATCAAACACTCACACACCCGCACACCGCTTGACCCGTTGATTGTTTCTGCTTATTTACATATAAAATGAGTTAGTGTGTGTATATGGCACGATTGATAGCCGAGAGGCAAGCAAAATAAACCGAAAAATGCTCTTTATACGTCCAAATAAACCGAAAGCTAGAACATAACTGACTGAAAGTACGATGCGACCGATAAAGAGAGGTCCGCGGGCTCTAGAGAGAGAAGGCATACGAGATGAAAACTCATCTCCATTTGCGAGGAAAGGAAAATGCGCTCAGCAGATGTTACGCATTTCCCACTGCGGAATAGCCGTACCCGTAGCCGTACACTAAGAGAAATAATTACAAAATGTGAGCCTGCCTACTCTAAAGATTATAAAAGATTATTTTTTATAAAACAATTTTTACGGTATATGGCGTGCCTATTTCAGCTAGTTTTACAATACAGACTCAACTACTAACTCTCATCAATAACTTGTGTAAAGGTTCTAAAATATGTTACCTTTATTTTTTACCATACGACAGTAATTATTTATATACTTTCAAACTAGATTTACAAATATTTATCGACCCATATAATGATTCATGAGCTCGGAATACCGTATCTCTGCTTTTAAATAAATATTATAAACGGAAATTGCAAGCCCCGATAAAAAATATTAAATGATTAAGAGACTGGTTGGTATCAATTTTGTAAAAATGTATGATTCACAATTTTTTTAAATCTTTACAGCTTAAACATTGGCCAAATTTTGAAAATAAGAAAATAAATACTTGCTTCAAAATTAACAAGAATAAAAAAATGTTTGTTGAATATTAGAAAATATTCATTTTTGTCCTTTAGTTTTATTTCCAGTGTAGTTGTGTTATTGCTACTCTCTTTGCATTTTCGGGGTGGGTTATACACCCAATGTACGTACAGATGTTTGCGAGTGTACCTCCCCCTATGGGGCCGAGTGTTACGGATCTGGGAGAGCTCCAGCTGAGAGCGTCGATTCCCGATCACAGTGGGCACGATCGCCATGTCACATGCGGATCATCTGCTGCGCACTTTTGGTAACCAGGGAATACGAGTATTTTTTTACTCTTATTGGTAAATAAATATTTATAATGTCCTGTCATTGCCAACTTACTCATCTATACTTTTGGACAGAGCCTCCGCCAGTTTGCGCAGCACCCTCCTGTCGATTTCCGAGGCTCCATTCTCCTCCAGAAAACTGGTCACCGTCTCAATCAAGGTGATTTCCCTCAAGGACGAGGCGCAGGTACCATTGCCATCGCCGCAGTAGTCCCGCAAAACCTGTTTAGACTGGTCCATGGGAAGTCCTTTCAATGCTCGGTTTATTTTCAATAACTTTTAACACTTAACAATTTCACACAGGACGCTAACAATTAGGTTTTTTTCTGTTTGGAAAATGAAGCGCGCTTAAACAGCTGTTTTTGGCGTCATTTATCGTAATGCAACCAAGTGCTGCCACAGCCTTGCCATATAGCTGCAATTAGGTGCCTCAGCGGTGTGGCAACATTGAAAGTCGATTTTTGTTTCTGGAAAGTCGATTCTTATCGAACGTAAACAACATCGACGGTTGACAAAAATTAACATTTGCCTGATAAGCAACTAGAACACAGCGGCCACAGATACAACGCCATGCTATAAACGATTCGCGGGCACGTTTACGCCAGCCCAACCAAACCAGGCCAATTCCAGTTGGGGGAAATACACAGCGACAAAAAAAACAGTAGAGGAAAAGCTCCCCCGTAATAGCAACAATGTTTGCCACACTGAAAAACAAAATAAAAGAGGAAACAGGCGAGGATGTGGTCCATTCGGGCAACCAGCGTTATCCCAGCACCAACAACAACAATTACCGGCTACGTAGTCGCCGCGTTAGCATTAATTCCAACTCGGCTGATGATGTGGGCGGTGGCGGATACTACAATGAGGTATGAAAAAAAACGAAACAGTCTATTTGTGTATACATATAGGAGAAACGCATAAACACCTGTACCTTTTGCAGTCGGAGCAACTGTGCCAACTGCGGAGTCAATGCAACGAGCTCACCACCAAGTTATCCACCATCACACTGGGATTGCAGCAGCTGCAGGAGGAGAAGAGCCGTGTGGACAAGACCAACGAGATACTGCTAGAGAGCGTGCGAGTGGCTCAGACGCAGAAGGACATGTACTGCGAGGAGCAGGAGAAGATCCAGAATCTGCAGCAGATCGAGATCGACAAGCTGAAGAACCTGCTCAGTTTCCGCGAGCAGGAATCGGTTGATCGCATGGGTCACATGCGTCAGCAGAGCCAGCAAATCGAATCCTTAAGCGAGGAGCTGGAGCGTCTGCGTCCCATTGAATCCGTGGCCGAGGATCTGCGCGACGAACTGGAGCAGCTGCGGCACGCCACGCAGCAGGAGAAGAACCTGCTTACCACAACACTGGCAGCGGTGCAAGAGGAGAACCGGCACCTCAAGAAACGCATGAAAATTGTGGAAGAGTCGCGCCTGGAGTCGCTGGGCAAGCTAAACTCCGAGCAGCAAGTGCAGGCCCTAATCCGGGAACACAAGCTGCTGGAGCAGCACTTGGAGGAGGCCCATCTGCAGCTGTCGGACATTAAAGGGTCCTGGAGTGGCCAGAACCTAGCGCTGGAAACGCAAGTCAGTCGTTTATCCAAGCAGGTGGCCGAGGAAACCACTGAAAAACGAAAGGCCTTGAAATCCCGAGACGATGCCATCGAAACCCGCAAGCAAGTTTCCTTCGAACTGGAAAAGGCCAGAGATGAAGTTAAGCAGAGAGACGATAAGGTGAGCAGACAGTGATCCCTTAATCCTAATATTAATCCAAGCTAATCCCAGGTCAAGCTGCTGGAAGAGGAAATCGACGAGCTAAATGTGGCCCTTAAGGAGTGCCGCGAGGAGAACGAGCAACAAGTCCTTTTTGAGCGCAATAAATCTGTGAGTATGCCTCCCGATGATGACGATTTCCATTGGGACTTGTAACACTAACTAACCTTGTAATGCAGTACTAACTCTAACATTTAAGTTCCTGGTATATTTAACACCACTTTTTGGGGAAAATGCAATTTTCCGACCACACCTATTATGTACTTTTGGATTATAAATGTTTTCCTTTCTGTATTAAACTGATTTTTAATCGTTGGCAAACTGATTGGTAACCTTTTTCCTTAAACAATGCACGCCTATTTGTTTACCTTCAATATCCTATTCCGCTTGATGGAGACTTTGTAAACCAATAAACCGAATGTTCTCAGCAAAATCTGGAAACAGAGGTAAAAGATCTCAAGACTCGTCTCACTGCGGCGGATGACAGGTTCACCGAGTACGCCTCGAATGCCGAGCAGGTTGCCCAAAAGCTACGGACCCAAGCGACTGAAAAGCAGGAGCAGCTGGACGAAACCATAATGCACCTAGAAATCGAACGAGAGGAGAAAATGACTGCAATACTCCGTAATGCGGAAATCGCCCAAAGCGAAGACATTTTACGGCAACAGCTGCGCTTGGAGCGCAGCGAAGCCACCGATCTTCAGGATAGGAATAATCAACTGGAGAGAGATATAACTGAAGCCCGGCAAGCGCTGCAACAGATCAGCAGTACAGCCCAGGATAATGCCCAGAAGCTGACCGAGTTCGAGGATGTTCAGTTGGAAATAGTCGAGAAAAATAAGGTAATATATAATATATAATTTAAATGTGTGTTCTATCTATAATTATACATTTTATGGTCTAGACAATAAAAACACTGAATCAGCGTTTGGTCGACCTGAAGAAAACAGTGCAAAAGGAATTGCGCAGCGCGCAGATATCCACGGACATTGAGTCCCATCCGGCAACGATTCCCGGCCACAGAATCTCAAGCTCATCCCTGGAGACTTTTCCCTCTGGCGACAAGGGCAATTGCATCATAATGGACGAAGTTAATTTTCAATATTTGAAACATGTCATAGTGAAGTTCTTGACCAGCCGCGAGGTATGTAATTTCACCCATTTTCTACTCGGTTAGCCCGATTTCATGTGTATTCCCTTAGGTGGAAGCGCGTCATCTTGTCCGTGCCGTCTCCACTTTACTTCAGCTGACATCCGAGGAGGAAAAGCTGCTGCATGACACTTTGAATTGGAAGATGAGTTGGTTCGGCATGAAACCAACCTAAATACCCACAGCAATAAATCACATTTGTATTCTAGTCTGTAGTCAATTCATAACGTTCGTGTAATATGTACATACCAATTACATACGCAGCACTGTGTTATTTTGTTTACCGACAACATTCCATTTTGTTAAATAGTATTTATTTCTACCGTTGTGATTTTTATAATAAACTACCAATTATGTAACCGAGTGTTTTTATTTTGTAAAAGGTTTTTAAGTTTATCGGATGTATGGATTCTTTAAATTTATTTATTTTTATTCATTAAAACCAAACTAAGTAATTTAAGAATTTTACCGCCCCTTGAGTAGATTTTATTTTATACTTTTATTTTACTTTACCTTGTATTAACTATCATTCTACTTACTTTGGTGGCGCCATCTAGCAATGATTTATTTTAGACCAGCAAATCAAGATATTCCATAAATAAAAGTCAGAAGTTAATTGTGTTAAAAATACTGCATTTTACATTTAAAAATATTGTTTGTTATATGTTTGTTTATTACAAATTACGTTCACTAAAATTAACTATAAATATGAATTTACTTCAATTTATTTATTGCAAAAACCTACGTCATATGAATAACTAACTATTCATTTGTATTATCTACGAATAAATGATATAGGAGAATTTAAGAATAAACAATAAAACACACGTATTACTGAGGCACTTTTTGGTGTTTATAACAATTAAGAAGACAGTTGAATTAGTCGCATATTCGTCAATATTGCTTTCGTAGAAGAATGATATATTTACACTTCAGAACTAAACGTTATACTAAGTCTAGGTGTTAAATGCATTTAAATCAAAATTGCGAAGGTAGGTGTTAAATCAATTGTCGATTTTCTGTCAGGTTTCGGAAAATTTGGCACACGGAATTTCAAAAGACTTACTTATCGATTATTACATCATTTAGACCTAAGGTAATTGCTAATAATTGCATTTCGCTTACAAAAATCTGCAGTCTATTGTTGCGTATGGTTGCAATGCATTGTACTGCAATATATTTCGGGGCTATCTGGCAAAATGAAACTTAACGAGATCGAATAAGTCCTCCAGGCATGGACGCTCTCTCTAAGCTATGATTAAAATTAGTTAAAGCCTTAAATGACCAATTAAACACACATACATATTTACAAATCAGTTGTAGAAATTAGAATTGTGAAAATAAAAAGGACTTGATAAAACGAAAAGCTATGCAGAAAAGTGATATGTTGCAACACCTCTCGCTTTACATGTAAATCTCAAAATGTTACGTAAACCCCCGACTGGGCGACTGTACGGGCGAAGGCGGGGGTGGGAGCGGCGAGAAGTATGTGGAGCTCCGTGATGACGGCGATGGCGGGCAGGAGGACTCCGGCACAATGCGCACATCGCTGTGGTAATGCGAGCGCGGCGTCGGCGGCGGCGGATACGGCTCACTATCGTAGCCGTATTGCAGGCAGGCGGCCGCCGAACTGGAAGAATGCTTCGTGGCTCCTCCATTACTGTTGTTGCTGTTCGATTTGCTCGTATAATTGGAGTCGGACTCATCACAAATGTCCGTGGAGCAGGGCGTTGGTGGCGGCGGCTGGTTGATGATCTTGTAGTGCCTGTACGGACGACGCGATCTGGTCGCCGGTGAGGGTGGCGGGTTAATGGGGTATGCTACCATACTGCTTCCATTCGTCGTTGAACTAGAAGCACCAGTAATGTGGTTGCGATCATAGGAGTTCATGCTGTTGCGCGAGTTCAGTGTGGACATCCGCACTGCGTCCGCTACGGAGGCGATCTTGGAAACCCTCTGCGATTTACTCAGCGTCGAGGGTGACAGCGGATCCGTGGCCTGGTCGTCCTTAGGTTCCGTTCGGCTCTTGCCAATCCGTGTGCGGCAAAACTGCAGCAGATAGACAATCGAAAAGATAGTTATCATGGTGGCGCCAATCAGTATCATAAAGGCGCGCTTATCGGTGGCGGGTGCCATGCGACGCTGCAGGCAAATGTCGGAGGATTCATCGGCTCCATCGGCGCAGTTCTCCCAGCCATCACATAGCAGGGCGGCCGAAATACACAGCTGAAAGAATTATAGCTGTGTCAAAGAAGTTCTTTACTTCGAGTTAAACATCACACTCACCTTATTAATGGGACATTGAAACTCCCCTGGGCGCTTACAACAATCCGCCTCATCATGCCCATTGGCACAGTTGGTGGTGCCATCGCACACCAACGACTTGTCGATGCACTCGCCCGACTGGCAGCTAAACTGATCCGCCCGGCATGTGGGACATCCCA